CACCCAATGATGACGGAATCCAGGTTCTTGGCCTCGGGGCTAGCAATCCTTCTGCAGCCCTACGGTCCATGAGTCCGCTGCATAATCCGGTGGTCGCTCGTCAGCTCTGTGAAGTGTACCTCCAACAAGTCGACCCGGTGATCAAGATCCTCCATCGCCCGTCGCTGAACCGATGGATGGTGCAGGGTGAAACCTACCTGGCGTACGCCGATGGTCACCCCTCGGTAGAAGCACTGGGTTCCGCCGTCTGCTACTCGGCTATTAGCAGCATGACGGAAAACCAGTGTTCAGTAATGTTTCATGCCAGCAAGGCAGATTTGTTGGCTGAGTCTCGTGTGGCCTGTGAGACGGCCATTGGCCGTGCGGGTTTGCTCACCAGCCGCGATATTACCGTTCTGCAAGCGTTTATTTTGTATCTGGTATGAATTGGACTTGACCAAAAAGAAGCGACATCAGACTGACTTTCTCTAGGTAGCTAGGAGATCGGAAGATCGCACCCCAGCTGTCTGGACTCTGATCGCTCTGGCTGTACGAATCGGAAAAGGCCTCGGTCTTTATTTAGATCCTGAGACAGAGACCTTTTTTGATCAGCAGATGCGGAGGCGTCTGTGGTATACCATTTGCCTGATGGATTTGCAGGCCTCATTCGGTCAGGCATCCGAGCCACTTATCAGCGTCGACGAGTCGGCATCCACAGCTCTTCCTCACCACATCAATGACTCGGACTTTGATTCAACCACGGCTGCACCTTGTGACCCCAACCGGGAGGGTCTGACAGACACGACCTTTGCGCTGGTTACCTACCATGCACAGCGGACGGGTCGTCTTCTCAACTTTGCTCAACACGATCGCAAGGTCGACGGGGGCATTTCAACTCCCGCATACTCTACCTCCGGCACTTCAACATCCCGCACTCGCACATGCGACCCCAATTGGCCGCAGCAGCAAGCCCGGCACTTCGAACAAGAAGCACTGCGACTTCTCCATTTCTGCGACCCCGGCACCTCTGCGTACGCGTGGTTCACCTGGCACGGCACGCAGAGTTTAATCGCGACGGTACGACTGGCAGCCGCGCGACCGCTTCAGTGGCACGGACGAGCACCACCGCCTCGCCGCGAGGGAAACACCGAACTGCTGCGTCTCTGCCTTCCCGTGCTGGAGAAAGCGCAGCTCATGCACACGGATCCCCGCGCCGAGGGCTTCCGCTGGTACGTGACAATTCCCTGGTACGCGCTGGCGATGGCTTTAGCGGAGTGCTATGTGAGCAGCGACACTGCCCTGGTGCGGTACGCCTGGCCGCTGCTCGAGTCGTCGTACCTGCAGCATGAGGCGACGCTGGGACGGTCTCTCGGCGGCCCGTTCGGGCAACTCATGCGGCGTATGAGAGAGAAACTGGCGGCACCAGCCGCACTCCCACCGAGCAGTCTCCCTAGCACCAACTGGAGCCCAGCCACTCCGCCAACCTTCCCGGGCGTGCCTCGGCCGCAGAGCAGTAATGATGATCGACATATGTCCGGTTGCTCTTGGCCGGTGCCCACCGGATCCACCCCGCCCGCGGATCTGGGGTTGCCGTCCCTCCTTCCGGTATCCACCTGGGAGGCGCTCTCGCCGCCGTCGTTGGACAACCCTTCTCTCTTCGGGGTACCTCCAACGACGACGGCGGTGGCGGACGGGATGGATCCGGGGGCGGATATGATGTGGGAGGAGCTGTTCTCGGGGATTCCGTTCAATGAGATCGCGGGGCCGGATATGTTCTTTTTCGATATGAACTGGGGGAGTTAATAGTGGCTGGTGGCTTTTGCTAGTAACGATGATATGATCGTAATCGAAGCGAGAATCTGAATCTAGACACACTTGGCGATTCCTTTCGGACAAGACATCAACCTGTTTAGTAGTTCTGGGTGGAGGGGTTAAAACCCGCAAAAGACGATTAAAAGCCGATGCCAGTGCTTAACTACTTATAGTTCTCCCTGGGGTTGATGATAAAGTAAGCAAATCATTCAATTACGAAACAGAACCAAGTACTAGATAATCTTCTAAGCCTAACACAGCAATAGATTCCCATGTATCTACCACCAATGTCCCGAAACACCCACCGCTCCCTCTATACCCCTCTACCACATCCCCACCCTTAGCACTAAACCAGTAGCTACTCCTCAAACCCCCCTAAGCATCAAAAATCGGCCTCTTAGCCCTAAAAACAAAAACACTCCCAACCACCCAAGTCTGGACCTCCCAAAAATTCTCCCTAAGGGCCTTCTCAAACTCAAACGCATTATCCTCGTCATTATGAAACACCCCATGATTCAAACACCCACGACGAATAATCGCCGCAAACCAATTATCCTTCCTGACCCCCTTACCCAGCACATTCGCACCATGGACCACCCCGTCCTCCGTCATGTATTTCTTGATGTGCGTGAAGATCTTGCATTTGCTGGCCATGGGGACGGGCAAGCAGTGCAGGAGGTAGTACATTGAGACGGAGTCGAATTTTTGGTTCTTTTCGTTGGTGGAGTAGGATTCTGGGAAGGGGGAGGGTTGCAGGATGTCGGTGACTATGCCGTGGGTTTTGGTGGAGGGGTGTTTGCACCGCGCGAGGGCGACGTTGAGCGCGTGCGTTTCGTTGTCCACGATTGTGAGCGTCGTGCTGGATGGGATCTGCGCTTGGTTGAGGTAGTAGCCGGTGCCGGCGCCGATGTCGAGGTGGTTTTTGCCCACGTTGGACCGGAATAAGGGGATTAGGTAGGTGCTGATTCGGCAGCCCCAGGCGAGGGTGCTTACGATGCCGAGGACCCAGATGTCGTAGATGAAGAGGCGCCAGGGGGTGTAGATTTGTTCTTGTTCCTGGGGTTGGGGTTTGGGTGGGGTGGAGGAGGTTGTTGTGGTGGTGGTAGTTGAGGACATTTTGGATTGATTGATTGAAGTGATGAGTTATGCTTGTTGCTTTAAGTGTTTGTGTTGTTATGATGGTGAGGTTGTTCGTGGCGGAGAGACATTTTATACTTCACCCTCGGAGAGTATACAGTGTCAGATCGGACAGGACTTCGGAAAATGTCAAAGACGCATTGCATGCCACATGGACATGAAACAGTTGCAGAATCAGGAATAAAGTTAGAATCCGACGCAAAATTGAACGGACTACTTAGGATTCACTCCGACCGGCTTTTGATAATGTCATGATCGGATTCCCATCGTGGGGGCCAAACACATTTAGTCAGACTATACACCGAGCGAATACTAATCCGTCCGGCAGAGGTTAAGAGACATTGATAAAATGGAGCAAGTCATGAAGAAGAGGAGGACCATTATAACTCACCATCTATATTATACTGATCGAAGAAAATGACCCCTCCCATCCTAATCATCGGCGCCGGCCTCTCCGGCCTCACTGTCTCCCGCATTCTCACCAACGCCTCCATCCCCAACATCGTCTTCGAAGCCTCCACCCCCGACCGTACCCAAGGCTACGCCATCAGCCTCCGCGAGTGGGGATACACCTCCCTTCTCACAGCCCTGGGCGACCTGCCCCTCCGCAGTCTCACCCGGGGCGTCGCCCCGGACCGCATCCTCGGCGGAACCGGCTGGATTGACCAAGCCCTCCGGGACAACCATACCGGAAACCTGCTAGTCGCTCCAGACCCCGAAGCGAAGCAATGTATTGTGCGGGCAAACCGCAATGCCCTCCGCACCTGGATCGCCGATAGCGGCGACGAGGAAGTGGACATCCGCTACGGCCACCGTCTCCGCAGCGTGCAGGGCTCAATGGGCAACGTGACGGCCACTTTCGAGAACGGCGCAAAGTATCAGGGCTCACTTGTCATCGCAGCTGATGGCGTGCACTCCACCGTGCGCTCGCAGATCCTACCCCATGTGAGCCCGGATATTGTGCCCGTGGTGGTGTACCATGGGGAATTGGAACTCCCCCGCAAGGAATTCGATAATCTTATCCGTCCGCATTCTGGACCGTCGAATATTCTAGCTGGTGTGGGCGATGGGTTTAATACCCCTATTACTGTGTGTAATATCACCCCGACACATGTCCATCTCGATTGGTCGTATTCGAGACCGAGTATAGCCGATAAGGATACCGAGGATCCCCTCTATCGGCCGCATGTCTCTGCTGCGGAGGCCAAGCAGATTCCTCCGGCTCTGTTGGAGGAAATTGCCTCCCGGGATCTGGCAAGACCGTGGTCCCAGCTACTTAATGCTGAGGCGTTGCCGACTCATCGGGTGTTCAACTGGGTGAGTCGGTGTGTGTCGGTGACAAGGGAGGATGTAAATGCTGCGCAGAAGCAGGGGGTGGTGTTTATTGGGGACTCGTGGCATGCGATGCCGATTTTCGGAGGTGAAGGTGGTAATCATGCCCTGGTTGATGCGGTGGAGCTGGCTGAGGCCTTGACGGGTAAGGAAGGGGAGTTGGATGCTGCTGTGACGGGATACTATGATCGCGCGTGGAGACGCTGTCAGGAGGCTGTCAGACGCTCCAGACAGAGGTTCTTCCAGTTGCATCGGCCTATGAGGGAATGGATGGAGATTGCGGAGAAGAAGAAAATGATGGCTGCTATGAAGGAAGTGGAGGCTCATTGATTAGCAGCTGTAACTGGTGTGCTGGGAGTTATGTCTTAATGTTGAGATAGTCTTATTTAGTTATTCGCTGAATCTGGAGTTGATTGTATGAAGTGAATTCTTAGTTTGTGGGGTAACTCAGTAAATGTTTGCTACGTTTTAATACAAAATAAGGGTCCTCAATACTAAGTTCGGTTCATCAACTGATATAGTAGGAACAACTGTTCTAGCAACGATCATGCGCGTATACACCTAATATAATAGTTAATGTCATTGACAGCGATTAAGAGCATAGCTTGCGACATACCGGTCATGCAATGAGAGTGAGCCACTGGTTCTATTATCACTATTTAATTTGAAGGTCGGTATTCAGCAAAACTGGTATGAACAAGAATAGCAACTAAATACAAAACCAGATTTTGGAAATGAATCTACAGCCTCACTGGAGATGCAGCCGGCGGCCCAACCGCAAACCAGCGTCTCTGACTAGGCTCTCCCTCAAATCCAACCTTCCGATCCTCCGCCAACTTCCATAAAACCTGACTCAAGAATGGAGTCAAAGCCTGTTCAACATCATCCGGAATCCCTCCATACATAGAGTTAATGAGCTCCGGAAACGTTAGAGAGCCGGCACGACGCCCGCCCCCGGACGCTGCCATCCTCGCCCGACTTCTCTCCAACGCGGCCAGTACCTGCCGCATTCTCGACTCTTTATGCTGAATATATTCTTTCATTTTAGCGGGAAGATCCTCGATGCGTGTTCCATGCGCTGGATACCCGAGCGCGCAATTGAGATCCGCCATGCGTGACAGGCTGGTCATGTACGTGCCTAAATCTTCCACGACGGAGTATCCGTGTCCCAACACATTGTCCCCGGTGAAGAGGGCATTCTCTTCCTCCAGCAAAAAGCACATATGATCGAAGGCATGTCCGGGAGTAAAGACAGCGCGGATAGTTGCGCCCTCTACGTGAAACTTCTGGCCATCGTGGATGGCTTGTTGGCCGAGATCGGGGGTGTTTTTGTACACCCGAGAGGACAGTTCGGAGTCGTAGCTGATGAGGTCGGGGACTCCACCGGTGTGATCGCCGTGCCAATGAGTGAGCAGGACGTGGGAGATTTCTAGACCGTTGGATTCCAGTTGTTCCGTGAGAGCTTCAATCCAGCTTGCTTCACCCTGTTCGGCGTTAGAAGTATTCATGGCAGGAAGGTATAGGTGGACTACCTGGCCGGTGTCAATGAGAATTCGGAATTTGCCCGTCCCCACGAGGTATGTGTTGGTTCCTTGCAGCTGCATGCGCCCGGGATTGCCTCCGAGAATGCGCATCACTCTCTCGGTGACTTGCTCGACTTCGGGAAGACGAGGCAGGTTGGCCTCCTGGCCGGACAAATATTCCTGCCAGAAGGACTGAGCAAAGGGGATACAGAACGCCATGTTGAATACTAGTTCGTAGTCACCATTCACTCATTCAGTCAATTCTTGATATGCATGAACTGGGCCAGATTAATGTTCTATACCATTTTCAATGCTTCTATTTTGGTTCTGGAACGGAATTTAATCGGACACACGTGGAGGCCATGCCATCCGAGCAAATCTGACATCAGCCCCATTTGTCCGTCCGATCCTGCCACTTTTTTTCACTATCCAATCCCACGAATCCTATCATTCCTCTCAGAGTACCTGAAACAAAGTTTAAAATCCGACTTTTATCTGCCGAGGGATTCTGCAGGATTCAGAATCAAAACCCGAGCGATGTCATTACGCCGTCCGACAATGGCCCCATTATGCATCGCGATGATGATGAGATGATGATGCTGAATCGACTCAGCTTCATTGTCCGAAACGGACATGGAGGAATTCACGAAATTCGGTCGCAGGTTCAGACTCATTTTGCTGAGATGACGAAGGGTATATAGAGAGCATCAAACCTCGCCGTTGTTGAAAATCTCATCTCAGTCCAACACAGCACAGCACAGCACAGCAGAGCGAAGCAAAGCAAAGCAATTACCTCTCCCCAAAACAACAAACTCTCTCACTCAAACCAATCTAATTCAATCGACCAATAAATCACCATGTCTGCCCCTACGAAGCTGGTCTTCTTCGGAAACGAATTCCCCAATGACGATCTCAAGACCCTCTTCCGCGGTCTGCACCGACACAGCAAGGACCGGCGCTTTCGCCAGCTGGCAACCTTCCTGGAGGAGTCCACTCGCGTGCTCCAGAATGAAGTTGCCCAACTTCCCGAGCCACTGAAGAAGCTGGTTCCTCATTTCGAAAACCTGATGCCTCTAACCGAGGTTGATTTCCGTCAGGGCCCTCTGGGAGCTGCCATGGAAAGCGCCCTGCTGACGATCTTGGAACTGGGAATGTTTATTGGCCACTACGAGGCCGAGGAGCGTGCCTGGGACCTCTCCGCAGACCGAACCACCTTGGCTGGTCTTAGTATTGGCCTGCTCGCCGCCGCTGGTGTTGCATTGTCCACTCACTTGGCTGAGGTGGTCCAGAACGGTGCTGAGTGTGTGCGCGTCTCCTTCCGCTTGGGAGTCTACGTCCACGACATCTCCCGCAAGCTGGAAGCTCCCCAGGCAGACGGCAGCTTGCTCAGCTGGGCTCATGTTGTCACCGGCGAGTCCGCATCAGACCTCCAAGAGGAACTGTCGCGATACAACACGGAAACGGGCACTCCCGAGCTGCTCAAGGTGTTCATCAGTGCAGCCGACAAGACCTCTGTGAGTGTCAGCGGCCCTCCCTCGCGCATCCGTGCCGCCTTTCGGGCCTCTCAGCGCCTGCGCTACTCCAAGTCTCTTGCCCTTCCTGTGTATGATGGTCTCTGCCATGCGGCCCACCTCTATGACGAGGAGACCATCCATCGTGTTCTTCACCCCGATGGATCCGTCATCCCCACCTCTCGGCCAGTGCAGCTGGCACTACTCTCGTCGCGGTCTGGACAGCCCTTCGAGGCCACCACGGCCGCTGAGCTGTTCCGCGCTATCAGCACAGAGCTTCTGACTGGCACCATCTTCCTGGATAACATCACAGCCGGCATTCTCGACCGTACTGAACGCTGTGCCGACACCACAAAGTGTCAGATCGAGACTTACCGCACTTCGCTGGTGTTTAAGGGTCTGTTAAAAGCCCTGGAGGCTTGCTTCCCTGACCGGACCATCAGCACGACCGACCTTATTCCCTGGGTGTTCCAGGACTACGGCGCGCGTCAGCCCAAGTCGTGCGCAGACTCGAAGCTGGCCATTGTTGGCATGGCCTGCCGCATGCCCGGCGGCGCTAATGATCTCGACCTCTTCTGGGAGCTGCTTGCACAGGGTCGCGATACCCACACGACGGTGCCTGCGGATCGCTTTGACCTCGAAACGCACTACGACCCGACTGGCGAGACCGAAAACGCAACGCGCACTCCCTTTGGCAACTTCATCGATCACCCCGGACTCTTCGATGCCGGATTCTTCAACATGTCCCCTCGGGAGGCTGAGCAGACCGACCCCATGCACCGTCTCGCCCTTGTCACCGCTTACGAAGCCCTGGAGATGGCAGGTGTTGTCTCTGGCCGCACGCCCTCGTCCAACCCCAAGCGCATTGCCACCTTCTACGGACAGGCCAGTGATGACTGGCGTGAGCTGAACGCGTCTCAGAACATCGGCACCTACGCCGTGCCTGGTGGTGAGCGTGCCTTTGCCAACGGTCGCATCAACTACTTCTTCAAGTTCGGCGGCCCGTCCTTTAACCTGGACACGGCCTGCTCCAGCGGCTTAGCTGCCGTTCAGGCGGCTTGCTCGGCCCTGTGGGCCGGTGAAGCCGATACTGTTCTGGCCGGCGGACTGAACATCATCACTGACCCCGATAACTACGCTGGTCTGGGCAACGGCCACTTCCTGTCACGCACCGGCCAGTGCAAGGTCTGGGATCAGTCTGCTGACGGCTACTGCCGTGCCGACGGTGTTGGCTCCGTTGTGATCAAGCGCCTTGAGGATGCGGAAGCAGACAATGACAACATCCTGGCTGTCGTGCTATCCGCTGCCACCAACCATTCGGCGGAGGCTATCTCCATTACCCACCCCCATGCTGGCGCCCAGAAGGAGAACTATACCCAGGTGCTGCACCAAGCGGCTGTCAACCCGCTGGATGTGAGCTATGTTGAGCTGCACGGCACCGGTACCCAGGCAGGTGACGCTCAGGAGGCTGAATCGGTGTTGGATGTCTTCGCTCCCCGGACTCATCGTCGTCGGGCCGACCAGCCGCTGTACTTGGGCGCGGTGAAAAGTAATATCGGACATGGTGAGGCGGCCGCTGGTATTGCCTCCCTGCTCAAGGTGCTGCTTATGTACCAGAAGAACGAGATCCCTGCTCACATCGGTATCCCAACTGTCATCAACCCGGCTATTCCCACGGATCTCGAGCAGCGCCAGGTTCATTTGCCTCGAAGCAAGACTGCCTGGCCCCGGGCTGCAGGCCAGATTCGCCGCGCCATTGTGAACTCTTTCGGTGCGCACGGTGGTAACACAACCCTGGTATTGGAAGATGCCCCTGAGAAGCAGGTGACTGTGGCCCGCGAGGAGCGCTCGACGCACCCGGTAGTCATCTCTGCCAAGTCGAAGAAGTCCTTGGCTGCCAACTTGGAGACTCTCCTTGCCTACCTCGACGACAAGCCGGAAACCGATCTTGGTGACCTATCTTACACAACCTGTGCGCGGCGCATGCACCACAGCTGGCGCGTGGCCACTGCTGTCAGCGATATTCCCGCCCTGCAAAAGTTCCTGCGCAACGCCGTGAACAACGACGCCGTGTCTCAAATCCGGCCTATTCCCACCGAAGCTCCCCCTGTGGTGTTCACTTTCACCGGCCAGGGTGCATACTACGCTGGACTGGCACAGGGTCTCTTCCAGGCTCTGCCTTCCTTCCGCGCTGAAGTGCGCCAGCTTGACCACCTGTCCCAGCGACTGGGATTTCCCTCTATTGTGCCGGTCATCCTCGGCGAGGTCGAAGAGGGAACTGCTACGGCCATGGTCACGCAGCTCAGCATTGTGATCGTGGAGATTGCCCTGGCTCGGCTCTGGCTCCTCCTCCTGGGAATTCCTGCTCCTCACGCCGTAATCGGCCACAGTCTGGGCGAATATGCCGCCCTGGCTATCGCCGGCGTGCTCTCCACAGCAGATGCTCTCTACCTGGTTGGCCACCGGGCTCAGCTCATCGAGGAACATTGCACCCCCGGCAGCCACGCCATGCTCTCGGTGCGCGCGACCATGGCTGACATTGAGCGTCTGGTTGGAACCGGCCCTGATGCACCCACTTACGAGCTGTCCTGCCAGAACACGCACCAGGACACCGTCATCGGCGGCTCGATCCCGGACCTCAATGCCATCCGCGAAAAGCTCGAGCCTGAAGGCATCAAGTGTGTCAACGTCGATGTTCCCTTTGCCTTCCACACCGCGCAGATGGACGCCGTTCGGGAACGCCTCGCCAAGGCCGTCGCCTCCGTGCCCTTCAAGACCCCCAGCGTCCCTGTCCTCTCTCCCCTGTTGGGCAGCGTCGTCTTCGACGGCAAGTCCATCAACCCAGAGTACATCGTGCGGGCTACCCGCGAGTCCGTCCAGTTTGCGACTGCCATCGACGCTGCCCAGGAGCTCGGCATCGTCAACAACCAGACCCTCTGGGTTGACATCGGCCCGCACCCCATCTGCGCCAGCTTCGTGCGCAGCCTGGTGCCTGGCGCACGTATCGTCTCCTCCTGCCGCCGAAACGAGGACAACTTTGCCACCATGGCGAAGAGTCTCTGCACTCTGCACCTGGCTGGCCGCACTCCCTCCTGGGCCGAGTACTTCCGTCCCGACGAGCAGGCCTACTCTCTTCTCCGCTTGCCCAAGTACCGCTGGAACGAGGTCAACTACTGGATCCAGTACCTAGGCACCTGGACCCTAGATAAGGCGCATATCAAGAACGGCGGCAGCCAGAAGCGCGCCATCACCGATGTACCATCCGTGTCTTCCCTGCGCACCTCCCTCATTCACCAGGTCACCGAAGAAACAGTCGACAAGACCACCGCGACCCTCAAAGCCATCTCCGACATCCAGCACCCCGACTTCCTCGAAGCCGTGCACGGCCACACCATGAACAACTGCGGCGTCGCCACTTCCTCCATCTGGACTGACATGGCCATGACCGTTGGCGAGCACCTCTACCGTCGCCTGGTTCCAGGTACCGACAACGTCCTCATGGATCTCTGCGACTTCGAAGTCCAGCACGCCCAAGTCGCGAACACCAACTCCAACACCCCACAACCTCTGGCCCTCGAAGCCCATCTCGACCTCCCCACCCGTCACATGTCCCTCGCCTGGTACGACGTCGATGCCACCACCAACCAGCGCGCCGCAGCACCCTTCGCCACCGGCAGCATCAAGTACCCGGCCGACCCAACCGGCGCAGCCTGGTCCACGGAATGGTCTCGCATCACCCACCTCATCCAGGGCCGCATCGACGCCCTACAGCACATGGCCGCGGAGAACAAAGCCAGCACACTCTCCAAGCCGCTCGCTTACGCCCTCTTCAAGAACGTCGTCGACTACGCCCCCCGCTATCGCGGCATGGACCGCGTCGTCATCCACGACTACGAGGCCTTCTCCGACATCACCCTTACCACCGACCGCCACGGCACCTGGCACACCCCGCCCCACTGGATCGACAGCGTCTCGCATCTGGCCGGCCTGGTCATGAACGGCAGCGATGCCTCCAACACTAGGGACTTCTTCTACGTCACCCCTGGATGCGGTAGCTGCCGCATGACTGAACCTTTGATTGCTGGTGGCAAATACCGGAACTATGTCCGCATGTTCCCCATGCCGGACGAGGCCCACATGTACGCGGGGGACTTGTACATCCTCCGCGAGGACAAGATCATCGGTGTCGTGGAACAGCTCAAGTTCCGTAGAGTGCCCCGCTTATTGATGGATCGGTTCTTCTCGCCGAACAAGAACGCCGCTGCGCATGCTGCTCCTGCTCCTGCTCCTGCCGCTGCTCCGGTGGTGAAGAAGCAATCTCCCACCCCTACACCCACGGAGACTGTCCCTTCCCAGCCGGCCAAGACAGAGCAGAAGCAAGTTCAGCTCCAACTTCCTAATCTTACCTCCGCTGCACCCTCGACAGCTAGCAGCTCATCCTCTCCCTCATCCAGCGGCGTCGCAACCCCCACCACTGAACAGGATGCCCCCGTCGCCGATGCATCAACAGTGACTGGTGTGGCCGGCAAGTGTCTGGAATTGATTGCCAATGAGACAGGCCTGGGTGTGGCAGAGCTTACTGCGGACGCGACATTCGTGCAGCTTGGCGTGGATTCGCTGATGTCGCTGGTGCTGTCGGAGAAGTTGAGGAGTGAGATGGGATTGGAGATTAAGAGTTCGTTGTTCTTGGAGTGTCCTACTGTGGGGGATTTGACGGGATGGTTGGAGCAGTATTGCTGATGGGGATGCTTCTGTATCTTTGCTTCTTGTTTTGGGGAAATAGTTGGGCTTGTATTTAGAGGAGTAGAGAGTAATTGCATTGCTGTGATATATCTTTGCTTCTGGAGTAGAGGTCGTAGGGTAAAAAGAAAATGGAAACGAGCGGGTGTTGAGCCTAGGATGTATTTCTGAGAACTGCAACCCGAGGTGAAAAGAGATGTCAGCTAGTCAGGACATCTACGTGACAATGAAGTTGGTCCTAATCTAACACTTCTACTACTGTATTACGAATGAACCATATTTGTCAACACTGCCATGCCCGGCCCACCTGCAAAACGTGGCAATCCAGCTCCCCTCTAATCCTCTCCAAAAACTCAGCAACCTGCTTGTCACTACGATATGCCTCATTGTAACTCAACCGTACAGCCAACCGGCCCTGAAATGTCTGCACGACCAGGTACATCATTGCCGTCATGGGGATAAGCGCAATCCAAGCCTCTTCCACCCGCAATGACCCGTACGACGATTCCCAAAGTGGGGTAATGTCCCCGATAAAGCTGGCAAAGAACGGAGGCTCATCCTGTAGCAGAGACGGAAGAAACTCATTCAGGCAAGAAATAGATTCCGTAATCAACCGGTCCTTATTCTGGGCCAGATTGCGATACTCGCCTTTGAGCGCCGCCGCCGTATCGCAGTAGTCACCGACCCGAACCTGGTAAGGCCATAGACTGACACGCGAGGCAAATGCTTCCTCCCCGACAGAGTCTAGAAGAGAAGGGTCACAGCGATCGCGGAGATTAAAGCCCGTCACGGAAGTGTGGATGTCCTGCGACGGACATTCTCTCATATCCTTGCAGGCCTGAAGCAGCGCGGCATGGACCAGTGCTGTGAGACCGAGACCGGTTTCTCGCCCGCCATGCAGGATCTGCGTGGTTTCGCAGTCGGAGAACTGCAGTACCTGAACTCGGCCGGGCTTGGGGGTCAACGGGTTACCCAGGGTAGGCATCTTCATCTCTTGGCCGGTGAAATGGACCGGAGAGTGACTGACGTCCGTGGCCGTCGGCTGCTGGATTTTTGCAGCATCGACGGCACCCAAGGGGAGATTGCGCACCTCATCACCGAACGATTTTCTTGGCGGCTCCTGGCCCTCGCTGATGCGGGCTAGCTCGGCCAGAAATCCGTTGAGAAGAAAACAAGTGCTCCTTCCATCCGTGTAAACATGAGGGCACCGGAGTACGAACCGATGTTCTTCGCGGAAGCAATACAGGACAGGTATACCTGATACTGGCACGTTGCTGTAGTCGTTGTAGACGCTGTCGGGACTGTGGAAACGGCCTGGGGAGACGAGGAAGCTCCGATTGAGCCATTCGTCAACTTCTTGTCTGTTGACAGGAGACTGGTAGGTGTACTGCTGTCCATCGCACTCTGCGGCGATCATAGGGTGGATATGGCGCATCTGCTCCCATGCGCTCCTGGCATGTTGAAGAAAATCACCAGTGGATGTAGACGCCTTCAGGCGAACACTGGTAATCATATCATGTGTGGGAAATCCAGGATGTTGTGGATTGGAGTATACACTGTTGAGAGTGGTCTCCAGCGCGTCCAGTGGCCGAGAATACCGGTTTTGGCCGATCTGCCGCCAGCTTGTGGTGGGATGGGGGATAGTCATTGCTGATCGATGGCAAGGGATTGTGAAGAGGGAACTAAAGGTAGATAGTAGCACGTAGTTGCAGAGGTTTGTGGGGGGGGGGGGAGGAAGGAGATCTCAAAGGGAGAACAAAGTCAGTCTTCTCATTATCTGGGAAAGGTGCTGAAGCACAGCACATTTAGCCTGCAGAAAATGTGGCGCCCACCCTCTATACGCAGCGTACACAGCGTTCTCTCTTCTTGCGTGCAAGCTCTCATGCATGACAGCGGCATAACGCGGCAGTCAGTGTGCAGAGTGTTGTCAAAGCAAGGGATATGAAGCACGGACTCGACACGTCGACTTCGCTTGCCGTTCCACTCACACCGCCGAAGTATATTTACCTCAATGTATACATCATCACACTATATAAATTCATCTCCTACGGAGTCACCGGTTCCATTTTGCGTCACACAAAACATACGATCTTCGAATGCACGATGCCTATCCCAAGAACGACGTCCCAATGGGTCTACGACCAATCCACCGGCCTAGAGCTGGAAGAACGAGTACCAATTCCAGATTTGAAAGAGGGCGACTGCCTGCTCCAAATCCACGCCGTATCCCTCAACTACGGAGAGATCGCCCGCATGAAAGGCAAATATCCACAGGAGGGCCCCCAGCGCCGAGTAGCAGGTGGTGACGGAGTGGCCACCGTCATTGCTACCGGGTCAGGAGTCACGGAGTTCCAGGCAGGTGACTGCGTGTGCCCGATCTGGCAACAGACCTACCAAACAGGTCCATTGACTCCCGAGATTGAGAACACGGCGCTCGGTTTGACGATTGATGGGACTTTGCGTGAGTATGCTGTTTTGGCGGCATCGGGGCTGGTAAAGGCCCCGACCCATTTGACTCATCGAGAGGCGGCAACTTTGACTTGCGCAGCGGTTACTGCGTGGAACGGCCTGTGTGGGTTGTCAGATCGCAGACTCAAGGCTGGGGACTGGGTGTTGACCCAGGGTACCGGCGCGGTAAGCCTAGCTGCGGTCCAATTTGCAGTGGCGGCTGGAGCTCACGTCGTGGTCACGACATCAACGACGGAGAAGGCGAAGTTCTTGAAGTCACTTGGGGTGGAGCATGTCTTGAACTACAGGGAGAATCCGAGTTGGGGTGAGTCTGCGAAGGCCTTGACGCCTGGTGGCAGAGGGTTTCACCACATCATCGAGCTTGGGGGTCAACGTTCACTACGGGAAAGCCTCCAGGCTATCCGATTCGAAGGTGTTGTGAGTCTCATTGGGCTCATGGAGGAGTTGGAGACCATTCAGAATACCCCGGGCATCACCTTCCCGGAATTGTTCCTCAGATACGCCACTGTTCGAAGTCTTCATGTGGGATCTCGGCAACAGTTCCAGGAGATGGTCGACTTCATGGAGCAGCACGCCATTAGACCCGTTGTCAACGAAGAGGAATTCAAGTTCGAAGACTGTATTCAGGCGTATGAGAAAGTATGGGAAGGTGGTCATACTGGCAAAATTGTGGTTAATGTATCTAGTGCTTAGAACAGACTACATCTTGCGGTCATGGAAAAACAGAGGTAACGGTGGTACAGTATAGGTTACCGTGTCTTTTCCTTGAGTAATGAACGCCTTAGCTGCTTTTTCGTCGGCGAATTCTAGATCAAAGTTCAATGCAATATGCGCCAGAATAATACGCAGCTCGACCATAGCCAGTCGCTTCCCGACACAAGCACGAGGACCTAGGGTGTACTTAGCTTTGGAATTGGCATTTAGTGGTTTTTGCAAGACACTTACCGGAGCCAAATGGGAAGAAGGCGTCCCTGGAAACGTCACCATCAACCCATCGCTGCGGTAGAAATTCCTCACCACGAGGGAAGAAGCGCTCGTCTCGGTGAAGGACGTGCTGGGGGACCACCACATTGACATTTCCTGGGACCCAGACCTCATCGATCTGGATTCCTTCGGGAGGCGTCACGCGTGGTTGGCCACTCGGAGCTGCTGGTCTCAGGCGCAAGGTTTCCTGTATGATTGCATCCAGGTAGCTTATGCTACCCAAGGTGCTCCATTCGGTGGTGCCATTGGCCCTTGTCAGGTGATTATATAGCGCTTGCTGGAGCTTTTTGTATTCATTCGGATAAGCTGTGAGATAGTACAATGCATGGGCGAGGGTACTACTAAGAGTATCGCTACGAGACGAATCAGAACTATGCCCAGATGTCAGTCAGGGAGTAGATCATACCTTCCCGCAATGACTACCAACCGGCCATCCTCGTGCAATGCTTCGATGGTGGGTGGCTTCCCTGGGTCATTATCTTTCATCGCCGATATTAGCCAGGACAATATGTCCTGTGAAGGTTGCCCATCATTGTTTTGCCAGGCCTAAACCTCGGGTAAGCGCGCCAAGAATTATACGTGATCGTGGAACCCACCTTTAATTTCGCTTCAACCAATCTTGAAGTGTGTTTGAGGAATGACGAGTGTTTCTTTGCAGCCCCGGGGAGGGACGCGAGAAGGCCGATAACCCACGGGGTAGGAGTCCAACGTCCCAGAAATTCCATTGACTGATGAAGGTTGGCAATTGCAGGGTGCTCCTGGCCACAGTCAACCTGATGGAAATTGTCGCCAAACCCAACAATGCCCATGACGTCCGAAGCAAACAGGCTAGACCAGTGCGCAGCATCGACTGACCCATCCTTTCGCATGAGACGCCGGATCTGTTGGACCATACTGGCGGCTTTCTGCACGATAGCAGATTCGTAGGCTAGCTTGGCTGTGTCGTCTCCTGCAACCGATGAGCTGGATTGCCAAGGAGAAAAAATTGTCAGTGGCTCACCTTTCATGTTCAGCGCCTTATCCCAGATTTTACGCCGAAGGTGATGTATTTCGGGATCCCGACCCATATGCAAAGATACTTGGCGTGGATTGTCCGACACATGAGCGTACCAGAGGGACTTGCGGCATCGGGAATTTCGGCTGTAAATGGCCGGAATTGCAGATGGTCGGAGAATTGAGACCTCTCGAGGCCCTAGACTTGGGTTAGCAACATGTTGCATGTCAGGGTTGCATAAATAACGACAGGTACCTACCTGTTCGCACGAAATCCCCATATCTCTGATGAAGTCTCTCAAGCTCCACATGTAGTTGAAGCGAACGATATGTTCTTGCAACCAGATATAGTCGACTTAGGCGAGCTTGCAGGGGTCCTGGGAAATTGTGGAGGCGGTGGAAGAATAGACGGTAAACGATGAGACTCGTGGTGAATGCAAGTGTAAAGACGGAGTTTAAGATGCCAGCGTGTAACAGAGCAGACAATATGGATGGGGCGAACTGTTTCAAAATCCAGACAAGGACCCCCCAACCCCCAAAATAAACCAGCAGAAGTGGTAATAGGTGGAAGTCTGGATTAAACGTCTGAAAGATCAAGTGGGCGCCAACTCCAAGTGCCACTGCTGTCAGATACGAACTGGAGTCCATATTCCCCAGTTGTCTAACACCGTCTAATCAATAGAACTGTAATTAGTGGTAGAGTTCCTTGGCTTCTGCCTTGGAAAGCCCTGGGTGTTGGCTCTTAGTGTACAATTATACTTGGATGTTGTCGCCAAGAACACACCTGCGGCAGTAGATGCAAGGGATCAGAAGACTACACCCCTTACATGAGTTTAAAGTTAAACATAGGAGCATGGCGCTAGCTGCAACTGGTAGGACGGGAATATCATGTAATAGGCTCAGGATTCCCGCTTACTTTCTTTCCGGAATATTTTTGATTGTTTTCCCACCATGGCAGGACTGAGACTTGCTTCTATTTGCAAGGCCCCACAAGCCTATAGCCTTCATCTCCCGTGGAGGACATTATGTCCAGTGCATAATAGCCATAGACGCCTGTCTTCAGTCGTCTTGCGTGTCTGGTAGTTCTTGTAGATGAGACCCTGACGGACAAGAGCCAGAAGAAACGGTAAGCTTCCCATCCCGCACGTTGTTCAGACAGGCGAGTAAATGGGGAGTATCAGACTTCAGGTGCGTGCAGGGATGTTTCTTCAAACATTCGACATTGAATAGACATCGAGCTTCTCCATTGGTTTTGACCGGCTGATCTTGGGCACCACTGCACACCGCCAAAGCAATTGATCTCACATTGATCCATACTTGAGGTTCTTCAGTCCCCGCGTTGGAGCACCGACCCACCAGTGCATGTGAAGCTGGTTCTGAAAAGCAGAGAAGGCGCCGAAGCTGAGGATATCGGATCCATCAAATTTGTCGCCAGTAGTTAGCCGTTATCCCCGCAAACGTCAATGTCGCCTACAAAGACATAATCACGGAGGTGAGACTACCACCAGGAATTGACAGATCCCTGTACATCATTAACAGACATGGAGGATCTGTCGTGCAAAAGTCAAATCGACAGCGATCTTCAAGACTTCTGAAGATAAATTGCGTGACGAAGAAGCTAAATGGCAAAACCTAACTATTCCTCAGAGATTATCAAGTAGAAGTTCAGTTCACCACCTGCTACACCCCGAACTTATTCTAGCATATGCCTTGTGTCCTTGATGTTGACATTACTCAAGAGACCCCGAAAAATCGACTCCCCATCATCCTCGTCTCGAATGTAATAGGCCGAGTCCACATCCTCCTTCGCTTCGGTCTGGCTAATTCCATTGCCCAAGTACGCAAAGCGGTTGCCGCCGGCATACGTAATGTGAAAGTCTTCGTAGCGGGGCTGCGCCAACGCTTCCATATAGTGCAGAGAGCTCCCGGGCCACTGAGCAATCACCTTACCAGACTTGTTTTTGTACCATGAGTGGCAGGAAGAACCCCACACGCTCCCTTGCATGAACAAGTCCTTGTGAGCAATGAAGTCATCCACCGCATGCGCGGTAGGATCGTAGGTGCGTATTCCTTCCTTTTGCCAGCGATTGAGGAAGTGCAACATGTAGGAACCTTGCAGTTCAATGGTGAAGAGTGCTGAAGTTAGGCCGAAAGGGGAGTTAGGCCCTAGAAAGGTGAAGTAGTTGGGGAAGTTATTCACTGCCACACCTAGGTATGATCGAGGCTCATGCATCCATTGCTCAGCAAGGAGGGTGCAACTTCGTCCCACAATAGGTAACCGAGGGCAATATGACGTTTCGAAACCGGTCGCACATACGAGTACGTCAGCTTTATACTCGTGCTCTGCCGTGGTGCAGTGATGCTGATCAACCGCCGTAATGTTGCCAATGACAAGGGACACATTGGGTGCATTCAACGCTCTTAGACACTGCGCTCCTGGCTGACGAGCTTGTACATTAGCCAAAGGCTACTGACGGACCTGGAAAAGGAGTTAGGCTCACAGTTATGCGGCGGCACCCGAGAGGGAAGTTAGGGATCAGCTTTGACGCGACTGCCTCGTCTTTGATGCTCCCTTCCATCTGTTCCCTCGCGAGATAACACAGATCTCGCTGTGTCTTCGTTCCCTGAATCAGAGCCGGAAAAAGAGCGTGTAGGCCTCTCTCCGTCGTTTGGCGAAACTCGCGGAGAGCATGTGGACTGTCTCGAAAGGTCTTCCGTTCTTCTTCGCTAAACTCATGGTACTCCATTCCACCACCAGAAGAGAGGAGCCACGTCGGACTACGAGCAAATACAGTGACATGAGCGGCCTTCCTATTACAACTGTCAGTATGCTCTTGAAAATGGACTGGGCGCCGTACTCTTGAAGATATGGCAGAATCTGGACACCCGAGGAGCTAGTAATCTCTGTTAGCATATGACACGCGCGAGACGCTCCAGCACTACGACTAACCCCATCCCAATAAGACCCACTCGCTTTCCAGTCAAATCAACTCTCTCGTCCCACAAGGCCGTATGTATGACGGCCCCGTTGAACAACCGCAGACCGGGAATGTCGGGCCAGCGTGGCGAGTTCAAGATCCCAGACCCATTGATCAAGAAGTCACATCGCCGTATCAAGACACCCCCAGTGTATTGCACCTGAACCACCCATTCTGCACTTTGCTCATCCCAGTGCGCCCCGACAACTGAGTGGTCACAGTGAATGTATCTCCGAAGGTCGTGCCGGTCCACAAAACTCTTGAAGTATTGTTGAATCTCGCCTGCTGCTGCATAGGTGGCAGAGAAGTCAGGTTTCGGCTCGAACGAGTACGTGTAATTGTGACTGTAGACACCAATTAGCATCAACAGATCTGAACGGAGCGTTCTTCATACGCTGGAATATCGCAAGCACCTTAAACAAGGTCAGCAATGGTCTCGACTGTGCGTTTTACAGACTCATACAGCCTGGATAGCGATTCTCAAACCATGTTCCGCCCACCTCAGGGTTCTTTTCGTAGACGTCCAGCGTGAAATCCACCAAACAAGTCTTCAATTTGTAAGCCAAGTAGATTCCAGATGGGCCTGCTCCGATGCAGACTACGCGCAAATGCCGATTTGCATGGATTGGTCGGGTGTTGCCACTGAAGTGCATTTTTCGTACGAAATAGCGGACCTGCTCACAAAAAACTGCACAGAAATTAAATAGGCAATCGTTACGTTGATGGGTTCTTACCTACCTTGCTTTTGTCAGTGGCCATGGCAAGTTCGCAGCGCAGATGGATCAATCAGCTGATAGTATGAGACCTATGCATACATCTGCAAGAGGCTGGCCGTACATGTGATAGCTCAGTTCTTCAGGACATGCAGGCCGTGCAGAAGGCTTTAATAGCCGAACTATTTTCATGGGTCCAGGCATTCGATCAATGTGGCATAAATGGAGCTAACAACCAGGACAGGTCCAAAGCCACTCCAACTCAGATCAAGTAGCATATTCGCTACCGAAGATACCAAGGTCCCACCTCAACAAAAGGGAAGGTTTGTTAGCCATGGCGCCCCTACAACAATGCTGTTTGGTCCAATCCGGCAATGGAGAGGGTCCGATCGAGCTCCAAACTTCGCAGTCTATACCCAAGATCGAACATCCGCATGAGGTACTGATCCGCATTACTGCCGTCGCTCTGAACCCCTCCGACTACAAGTTCCCGAGGTATCTCCCGTGTGTTGGAGCAGTGTTGGGGTGCGACTTCTGCGGTACTATCGCGGAGACCCGTGCGCAAGCTACGGGTCTGAAACAAGGCGATCGGGTCTGTGGGGCCGTCCAAGGTTGCAATCGAGCCCGACAAGACAATGGTGCATTTTCTGAATACGTAGTGGCGGACTCCAGGTTGCTCTTGCGTGTACCACAACACTGGAGTGATCTGCAAGCGGCGGCGCTTGGTGGCGTCGGCTGGTACACCGCCGGCCTCGTCATGTATGACGCTTCGGGGCTGATCGGTCGTCCATCTCGCCCGCTCCCTGCAAGGGAAGATGGATCGCGTGTGCCGGTGTTGGTATACGGCGGAGCAACTGCTACGGGCACAATGCTCTGTCAGTTACTGTCGCTGTACGTATGCGAAGATCAATCAGAGTACTGAGCGGGCAGCTAATTGAACGCGTTAAGATCCGGCTACGCGACTATTGCTACTGCGTCGCCCTCATCCTCTGCCATGGTGCAGTCCTTCGGTGCGCGGTCTACCGTCCCCTATGCTGATTCGAAATGTGCGGAGAGAGTTCGCGCAGTAACCAGAGGAGAGCTGCGTCACGCAGTCGATTGCATCGCCAGCTTCGAGTCTATGAGCGTCTGTGCCGCTTCATTGTGCCGTGCTGGGGGCCGCCTTGCATGTCTCGAGGCATATCAGCCTGGGTGGGTCACGAAAAGATCCGTGGGAGTCTCATTTGTTATGGGGCCCGAGGCACTTGGAATGGGAGTGGATGCCGAAGGTGAATATTATCGGAACCCGGATCCAAAAAAACTTCAGATTACTCTGGACTTGAAGCGGGAAATGCAAAGCATGATAGATGCAGGTCGAATCACAAGCCACCCCCCGCTGGAGTTGCAAGGCGGATGGGACGGCATTCGCAATGGACTCCGAATGCTCCAACGGCACGAAGTCCACGGACAGAAGTTAGTCGTACGACTGAAGGATTAGAGAGCTTTCGGAGCGCGGAAGTATCGAAAGGGTGATACTAGTGATTCTGTGCATACATCTCTCAATGGTCGGCTGCAAGCCTGTCTCAGTCATTGTTCTGCTCAGTAATAACTCTCAAGCTGAAGTAGAAAGTGTGCCCAGACCAGGATACTACATTCAACAGAGAAATATCGAATGGAACCTATTCGAACTTTATACTGCACTAGAAGGTAGAGATATATGAAAGAACCTTTACCTTCCTATGCTACTCCTGGCATAAGGACATATGAAAACAACAGATACCAGCGATTTACGACACTCACGGATAAAACGATGGGTTCCACGCTTGATAGGCTCGAGCCAGTTGCCATAATCGGCAGCGCCTGTCGATTTCCAGGAGGAGTGGCATCGCCAAGCCAGCTGTGGGAGCTCTTAGAGAATCCCATAGAGTTGGTTCGCGAGCTTCCCGACGATCGTTTCTCTGCGGATACCTTTTATCACCCTAAAGCCCAGTCTCCGGGTCATACCAACGTGAAAAAAGCGTATACGTTGACGCAGGATGTTCGCAAGTTTGACGCGTCCTTCTTCAACATCAGCCCGGCAGAGGCCAAGGCGATGGATCCCCAGCAACGCATGCTTCTGGAAGTGACCTACGAGGGCTTGGAAAGAGCCGGTGTTACCATTGAGTCCTTGAAGGGGTCTGATACGGGAGTGTTCGTGGGGATGATGTGGAATGATTACCTTACGATGCAGGCCCAAGATAATTTCAACAGTCCAACGTATATCGGCACAGGAACTGCCAGGAGTATTGTGGCTAATCGCCTATCCTACTTTTTTGACTGGCATGGACCTTCATTTACGCTGGACACCGCTTGCTCGTCGAGCCTTGTCGCAGTGCATCAAGCAGTGCGAGCCATCCGTGAGGGAGACTGCGAGGTGGCAGTTGTGGCCGGTGTGAATCTCATCCTGGGCCCCGAAAATTTCGTTCAGGAGAGCCAGTTGAAAATGCTGTCGTCTGATGGGCGTTGCAAGATGTGGGATCGAGACGCTGACGGCTATGGCCGGGGAGAAGGTGTCGCTGTGCTGGTCCTCAAAAGGCTCGGGGCTGCGACGATGCATAGAGATCCTATTGAGTGTAAAATCAGAAATATCGAGATCAACCATGACGGCAGCAAGGCGGGCCTGACCAAACCAAACAGCGCAGCGCAAGCGGATCTGATCAGGAAAACATATCACAAGGCAGGGCTCGATATACATAATCCTCAGGATAGATGTCAATTCTTCGAGGCACATGGCACAGGCACCGCCGCTGGTGACCCCGCAGAAGCAGAAGCTATATACCAAGCATTTAGCCTAGAGAAACAAGCTTGGTCCGACAATCATATGTATGTGGGCTCGATCAAAACGGTTATAGGTCATACTGAGAGCACTGCCGGAATCGCTGGCATCATGAAAGCGTCTCTTTCTATGCAAAATGGCCGTATTGCTCCTAACCTCCACCTGCACAATATAAATCCAGCCATTTCGCCTATCTCCGGGGCCCTCGAGGTCCCGACCCGCCTGGTTGACTGGCCACAACAGTCTCGGAGAGCTAGTGTCAACTCCTTTGGTTTCGGCGGTGCCAATGCTCATGTCATTTTGGAAGGTGTCGAAGTTTGGAGGGACCCGGTGGTGAAGAAAGCAGCAGCTCAGACCTTTACACCATTGGTCTTCTCCGCCCAATCTAAAGCCTCACTCGTTGCAACACTGAGAGTGTTTTCAGAATACCTTGATCGAGAACCAAATGTAAATCTCGTTGACCTTTCCTGGACGTTGCGAAACCGTCGATCAAAGTTCCGCTGGCGAGTGGCGTACACAGCGACCAACGTCAGCTCGCTGCAGGAACAGATCAATGAGACCATCGCAAAATCCCACCATCATCCTGGAGCACTCATGGAAATTTCGAGTACTCAAAGGAGAGTGTTGGGTGTATTCACCGGCCAGGGCGCTCAGTATGCCCGCATGGGGGCAGCTTTGCTGGAAAAGTCGGGGTATTGTGCTGAGATCGTCGGAGAGTTGGAGCGGGAAATGGCCTCTTTACCACCGGATGATCGCCCATCGTGGTCAATCCGCGAGGAATTACTCAAAGATGGCTCGAATACTCGCATTAATGACCCTGAAATCTCTCAGACCCTCTGTGCAGTAGTGCAGATCGTGCTCGTTCGTCTTCTTGCTCGGCTTGGAATTGAGTTCTCCGCCGTCGTCGGCCACTCGTCCGGAGAGATAGGTGCTGCCTTTGCCGCTGGATGCCTTTCCATGCGAGACTCTTTGCTATTAGCATACTTCCGAGGACGGTACGCCAAACATGCGTGCGGTCTCTCTGGCGGTCCAGGGGCGATGCTGGCCGTTGGAACATCCCAACAGGACGCCGCAGAGCTGTGCGATATGGAGGAATTCCGTGGGAGAGTCGTCGTTGCAGCTTCAAACTCAACATCAAGTGTGACATTGGCCGGTGATGAAGAGCAGATTGAGCAAATCCGAATCATTTTCGAAGACGAGGGCAAATTCTGCCGGAGGTTAAAGGTGGACGTGGCATACCATTCCCACCACATGCTCCCTTGCTCCAAGATATATAGAGAGGCCATTGAACGCCATGGAATAGCGGGCAAAGGGAGTAGAATGGGCCCCCGGTGGTACTCAAGTGTGCTACCAACGTCAGGCATCCCGCACCTATGTTCAGACTACTGGATACAGAACATGCTGCAGCCAGTACTATTCCACCAGGCAGTTTCTCGGGCGGTGTCTGAGATGGGGTGCGACATGGTTGTTGAGATTGGGCCTCATCCCTCACTAGAGAGTCCAACTATGAAAACCATTCAATTCATAAAGTCTCCACGGGATTTCCAGGATGTCGTGCATTTAGGAACGCTTCAACGAGAGAAATGCGCAACAGATGCCATATCTGAGACCCTTGCCTCTCTGTGGGTACACAACACACAGTGCAATATTGACTTGGATTGGTATGAGAAGCAAATGACCGAGGACCATGAATTTGCTGTTGTTGTGGATCTTCCCTCCTATCAGTGGAACCACGAGCATCCTCTTCCGGACGAAAAGAGTCGCTATTTGCGCGCACTTTATCACCGAATGGGCAAATATCATCCGCTTCTCGGTCGCCTGTGTCCAACAAGCTCTGACACCCACCTCCTTTGGCGTAACATCGTTCGGCTGTCTCAAATCCCATGGTTGAAAGGTCATCAGCTCCAAGGCCAGGTGATATTTCCGGCTACGGGATATCTGGTGACTGCCATCGAAGCTGTTGCATGTATACTGAGCGAAAACGAGCAAGCGCGGCTAATCGAACTTCATGATGTCCAGTTCCATCAGGCAATGGTATTCTCTGAAACAGATGAGGGGGTGGAGGTGCTTTTCCAGCTCGACAAGCTATCCAGAGAAAGCGGCTCAATCGTCAGCGCTCGATTTATTTATTCCGCCGCTATAGGGGCACAGGGCAACATGAAGGCCACCGCCAGTGGCTTGGCGACGGTCGAGGTGGGCCGGGCAGAGAGTGAGATACTTCCTCCTCGACAAACCCCCTCCACTAGTATGTCCATGGTCGATCTAGACATGTTCTATCGCTATCTGCAGAACCTTGGATATGATTATTCGGACCAATTTCGCTCACTCGATGACCTCGAACGGTGTTCTGGGTTTGCAGCAGGAAAGGTCTACCCTCCAGACAGCGAAGAAGCCATGGAAGCACCATATCGAGTTCATCCCGCTGTACTAGATGCGGGAATTCAGGTTCTACTATTAGCCTACAGCTACCCGTGGGATGGCAGACTGCGCTCGATTCATGTTCCCACCACCGTTGACATTGTGCGGATTAATCCTGCGGCGTGCGATGCGATAACACAACCTGAGGTACCCTTTTCTATTGACTCTCGACTCGCACCACCTGATCATGGGCTAGCTGCTCATATCACGGGCGACGTAGAGATTTACCGGGGCAGCAGTAAATGTGCGGCAATCCAGCTAGGGGGAGTAACCGCTAAACCTCTGACGGCGGCCACTGCAGCTGATGATCGGCAGTTGGTCTTCTCAGAGACCTGGTGGCCGCAAGAGCCGGATGCAACAGGCGTCGATACTGACGAACCTAGTGAAAGGGTAGACGATATGGCGCGATGTCTGGAACGAGCGTCGATTTTCTACCTACGCCGGTTGCGTGACGAAATTACCTACCGACCTTTGGAGGCTCCCAGCAGTCTTGCAACATCATATCTGAACTATGCAGACTATATAGTCTCCTTGGTGGGCGCTGGGCTTCATCCGTGGGTTACAATCGACGATAAAATTGACAGACTCGAAGACATCCTTGCGGCTACTGCACCGTAAGTTTATATATACTGTACAGATGTGCTGAATGCCTCATGCCGCTAACGCATGACAGATACTCCGAGTACCCCGAAGTAAAGCTGGTGCACGCCATCGGAGATAACATCGACAGGGTATTGCGAGGGGAAGTACACAGCCTCGAGATCTTAGCAGCAGATGGCATGCTTGATAAGTACTACGAGCACGGAGAGCCAATGCGAACAACGAACCAATGGCTCAGCCGCGTCGTTGAACAGGTCAGTCGCAAGTATCCGCATATGAATGTCTTAGAAGTTGGTGCGTATCGATTCACCCCTCAGAAACATAGATGTTAACGGTCACAAACAGGAGCTGGTACCGGAAGCGCAACAAAGGCCGTTCTGAGCCGGATTGAAGAACGATTTGCATCGTATACCTTCACGGATGTATCCTCAGGCTACTTTGGTGGAGCCGAAGGCCTCTTCAGCACCTGCCAGAAGAAGGCGAGCATGAAGGTGCTTGATATTTCACGAGATATTGAAGCACAAGGGTTCGCTCCCCATTCCTACGACCTCGTCATTGCTTGCCACGTTTTGCATGTAACTCCATGCCTGGAAGACACCCTACGGAACATACGTTCTCTGATCAAGCCAGGCGGGTATCTGATCTTGTCCGAGTTGACTTCGAACGACATAAGTCGGGTGGCCTTCATATTCGGTGCGTTGTCTAGCTGGTGGGCAGGGCGTGATGAGGGTCGCGTACTGGGACCTAATGTGTCTGCTGTTCAATGGGATAGTTTACTTCGAAAAACTGGATTCTCAGGAGTGGATTCGATAGCTGGGGAGAGACACAACAGTGCCTATGCATGCACTGTGATGGTGGCGCAGGCGATTGACGAGCAAGTGGAATTCCTGCGTCATCCACTCTGGGCGCCCAGCCGACCTATATCCGGACTCCCTATACCACAGTTGATTCTACTTGGAGGTGCATCGTTGACAACAGCGAGCCTCGTCGGCAATCTGTGCCAGATAGTATCGCCATTAAGCCAGAGCGTACTAACCTTCCAGACTCTACAGGACGTACAGTATGATGCCCTCCATCCCGAGGCCGTAATCCTGTGCATGATCGAGCTTGATGCTCCGCTTTTTGCGAACGTCAAGGACGGGTGTTTTCAGAGCCTTAAGAATATGTTATTAGAGCCGAGGAGGCTTCTCTGGGTGGTAGAGGGTAGTGGGAAGGCCGACAAGTATAGCGCCATGACTTTAGCGTTTATTCGGTCTGCCTGTTGGGAAATACCTGACATGCGCTTCCAATTCCTTCGATGGGACCACGCTCGCCTGGCGAATTCAAGCAACATCGCCGAGTATTTACTGAAGTTCGCTTGCTTGACATCTCGAACTCAGAAAGCAAAAAATAAGTTACTTTGGTCCTGCGAGACCGAAGTGAGGATCAATGTGCGGCTCCAAGCGCATATCCCTCGACTGGAGCCGGCAAAGCCGGCAAATGAACGGTATAATTCTTCGGTGCGGAAAATTACTCGCCATGTCTCCTCCAGCCCAGTCCAGCGGGTCGGTCTGCATCTTCAGCATGGCAGGCATGTCTTCGCAGTTTGCGGCGATCAGTCCTTGATTCACCGAGATAGTGAGAAGGTGGAACTGGTCGTCGAGCTCAGCACTATGTGGCCGCTCAGATATGCCGACGGCCAACTCTTCCTGGTCCTAGGCTGTTTAACAGGGAAAGCCACCACGTATCTGGCGCTGACGCCGTCTGTTGCATCTCACCTAGTCATTCCTCAACATCAGCTGGTCGAGTACAAAATCCCAGAAGGACACACTAAAGTCAGCGCACTGGGATGTATTGTTGCTCATCTGCTCGCTGCGGCAATTTTGGATGGCATTGAATGTGGCAAATCAGTGCTGGTTCACAACTCGCCTAGACCTTTGGGAGAAATTCTCCAGAGGATTGCGGCTGAGCGGAAGGTTACTTTGACTCTTACCACCTCAGAAGCTGAAAAAGATATACCAGAGTCCTGGATACACATACCGCCCTACTCACGCCCACTGCAAATCAAAACAACCCTGCCTCCAAACGTCGACAGAATTGTGGACCTGACAGTGGACAAGGAGGTGGCGCAGAAGGGTATCCTGGGGTGCATTCACAAGCAATGCACCGTTTGGGATCTCGGCACCCTATTAGGTGACGATACTAGCAATTGGATAAAAACCAAGGCGTACGCAAATCCGGATGTTCTGAGGCTGGCTACACATCAGGCATGCTCCTCTGACTCTCCATTCGACATATCTCTGATTAGTTCCGCTGTTATCACCCCCAAACAGCTTGTGGATAAGCCACAGCCTCTCGCGCCCTTTACTTTACTTGACTGGATTGCGGACAAAATCATCCCTGTGGGCGTCACCACTGCAGGTTCGCAAGTCACATTTCGAGGAGACAGGACCTATTGGTTGGCCGGTATTTCAGGAAGCCTTTCCGCGTCACTATGTGAGTGGATGATCAGCCGTGGAGCACGGTACATCGTGATCAGTAGTCGTCAACCGCGAATCAATCCGTTGTGGTTGGATCGGATGAAGCGGCTGGGAGCGACTGTCCTTCCATTCGCCAAGTACGTATTGCACGACCCGATGACACCATAAGGTAGCAATAATACTGATAAATTACAGTGACATCACCGATTATGATCGAGTCCAGGAGTTATACCAAACCATATGTAAGGAGCTCCCTCCGGTGGCTGGAGTCGCCCATGGCGCCATGGTTCTCCGGGACAGACCATTGCGGGACATGACCCACGATGACCTCTATACTGTTCTGGCACCAAAGGTTACAGGAAGTCAAAATTTGGATAGTCTATTCTGGGATAAGCCATTGGAGTTTTTCATACTTCTATCTTCTGTGGTCAGCGTCGTTGGACATGCAAGCCAGGCCAATTACGCTGCTGCAAACGGCTTTTTGGACGCATTGGCTAGCTATCGCAGACAAAGGGGCCTATGTGCATCAACAATCAACCTTGGAGTTATTGCCGGCTCTGATGTGGTATCTGGGCGCTCTGGGGCCTCTTTATTGACCGCGCTTCTCAGTCGGCGTTTTATGGGCCTCTCTGAGTCAGACTTCCATGAGGCCTTTGCAGAGGCTATTGCCCTTGGGAAGGCGGATAGTTCTTCGGGGTCTTCCGTTATCACCGGAATTTCACTTGTCAAAGAAGGAGACAAGAACAATACATTCGTGCCTGTGTGGACTAAAGAGCCAAAGTTCAGTTCACTCGTCATTAACGGAGGCTCTTCTCATGCAGGGACCGCCAAGAGGCGAGATGGGAACTCCATCGAGTCTCAACTACGTAAGGCAAAGACGGACGAGGATGTTCGTGCGGTTATGATGGGTAGGCATCCCTTTCACGCAATGAGAAAAATGATTGATATTGACGTACACAAGGTACTATATGCAGCAGACTTCGGCAGATTCTTCAGGTTTCATCGGACATGGATATTACGTCTTCAACGCGCACTGATCAACTAGGACTGGACTCTCTAATTGCGGTTGATCTGAAATCATGGTTGTCGAAGACATACCGGGTTGACATTCCGACGCTTAAGATCATGGCTGGAATGGAGATCGGGGAGCTTGTGCGATTGACAATGGATAGCATCGAACATAGAAGTGAGGAATCATTGGAAGGAGATACCATTTCTTCTAGTGCCGAAGACCTAGTAGAAGAAACACCCCCGGGGTCGTCGTTGCTAGGCAACTCAGATGATCGAACAAGCATGACTCCTGACCTATTTCCAGAGACTATGTGTACTACGGAGGGGGTGTCAAAAGCGTCTTCAGGCGAGCAGTTCATTCAGTCTCGCATGAATAACAACGGATCAGCATTGGCAAGCATCACTCATGTATCGACTGCTCATGCACAACGGGAAGAAGGTCTAACGGGAGTCTGCTCCATCTCTACTGATGATCAATATGAAGTAGTACGGTCTGGGGGCCTCTCTTCATCACAGTCAATGTTCTGGTTTATAGATTCATTGATGGAGGAGAAGACCACACTCAATCACACCCTCCTATACCGCATTCAAGGACCACTTGACGCGGCAAATCTGGAGCGGGCACTTAACGTTGTCGCGATGCGCCACGAAGTTCTGCACTCACGGATACGGTATGACGAAAAAACGCAAGAGATGATTCAGGAGGTACTTCGAAAACAACTTGTGTTTTTGGAGAAAAGACAGGTTCAGGATACATGTGAAGTGGACACCATGTACAACGAGCTTCACAGATATGTATACGATCCCGAATCGGGTCACGCGTTCCGCATGATATATATCTCTTCCTGCTCGGAGGACAGCTTCCTACTGATCGGTTATCATCATCTCATTGTAGACGGCTCAAGTCATGCCATCATCATGCGCGACCTCCAGGACGCATATCGAGGACGACCACTTACAACGAAGCCTGTACAATTCCTGGATTACGTACAGGAAGAGCAGGAGAAGCGTGCTTCGCGTGTATGGAGTGAAGATATCATATACTGGAAAGGCGTACTCGATCCCGTGCCTGAACCTCTTCCCGTTTTTCGCAGTCGAGTCTCCACACGTCCACTCCTAAAGCAATACGATATGCACCGAGTTGAGTACACTTTGCCCGGCGATTTGCACAGCGAACTTAGCCGCCTGGCGGTAGCAAATCGAGCCACGCCCTTTCATGTCTACCTTGCCGCATTTGAAGTTCTTCTCTTTCGCTTTCTCGGTGTACATGACCTTTGCATCGGGACAGGGGATGCGAATCGTTGGGATGCTGGGAAAACTGACTGCGTTGGTCCATATATTAACCTTGTACCTCTTCGTTTTCAGGTCGATAAGGACATGACATTCGCCTCTGTCTTGAAAGCAACACGAAACACGACCTATGACTGCCTCCAACATGCCCAGGTGCCATTTCAAGTGTTACTTAATGAACTGCGAATTTCACGGTCAGCAGCTCACAGTCCCGTGTTCCAGGCGTTCTTGGATTACCGACTTGCTCCCGAGACCGACGGCTTGTTTGGAGACCGCCACATCGACCTGGAGAGATGGGATATTGCACAGCTGGGCTACGACTTCATGATTGATGTCGTCCCTCATCCGACTCGTGGAATGTCCATTGCGATCCATGTGCAGAAGTCAGTCTATGGGGAGGTAGAGGCCAGAATGCTCGCGAAGGGTTACGAGGATATCATCAAAGAAATCGTTGCGGCGCCTGGCCGCTCAATAGAACGCCAATGGAAGTTCCGAGCAGATGACATAAATGAAGCTTGCGAGCTTGGACGGGGTGAGTGTAATACAGAGCGTTAAATTCATGACGTCGTCGCTAACTCAACGCTGAAGGACCCTCTGCTGCTTCAAGCTGGCCAACAACCATCCCGCATCGCATTGACACCATTGCCAAGTACCATGGCTCTCGAACGGCTGTAAGAGAAGCCAGCGGTGGGACGGTCACGTACAGTGAGCTGCTTGCCCGAGTAGACAGCATCGCATTGGCCATGGTAAACAGTGGCTTGATGCGAGGAGCGCCGGTTGCGGTGTATCAGGAACCATCAATCGAGTCTATCGCTTCCACACTGGCCATTCTCAAAGTTGGTGGAGTATATCTACCGCTAGATCTATCGGTTCCACCGGGGAGATTAGCCACAATGGTGCAGTCCGTTAATCCTAGGATTGTATTGGTACACGATGCAACCTTAGGCCGCGAGAGAAATCTTTTCCTAGCACAGAGTGTCCCCACGATAAACGTGTCTAACGTGCGTCAACTTGGTCAAACGTGTGGTAGTCGCGCTTTTAGCAATGGCCCTGCGGTAATTCTCCACACCAGTGGAACAACAGGAGTGCCCAAGGGAGTGCTTCTCACGCACGCCAACCTGCGAAATCACATGGAATTCTCCATGCCACTTGCAGATATCAGGCCAGAGCATGTCTTTCTCAACCAGAGTGCTTGCTCATTTGATCTGTCCCTGGCACAAATCCTCGGGCCTCTGTGCTATGGGGCTACTGTGTGCGTTGCACAGCGCGAGGTGCGATATGACCCTGCAGAAATGACGCATTTAATACGTCGTGAGAGAATTACGCATACTTTGGCTACACCTAGCGAATATAGAAGCTGGCTGAAATGCGCGGGACTTGAGGACCTTCAAGAAAGCACCTGGGTTACGGCTTTAGTCGCGGGTGAGCCAGTGACGCAAGATTTGCTAGAGAACTTCCGACTGCTCGCAAAGGACAACCTACGGCTCTACAATTTGTACGGCCCGTGCGAGACCACTATTTGGTCTACCGCTACTGAGCTAGAATACTCCATACCCGGCCAATATGCACAGGGAGTCCCAGTTGGACGGCCTGGCTATAATGAGTGGATATACATTGTAGATGAGTTGCTTCAACTCCAGCCTGTCGGACTTCCCGGTGAGGTCATCATTAGCGGCGCCGGTGTTGCGGAGGGATATGTCATTTTGGATGATGAGAACAAGGCCAAGTTTGTGGAGGACACTTTTCACTCTTCAAAGGTGGAGAACCAGATGATGTACCGAACTGGTGACCGAGGAAGACTACTAGAAAATGGTCAGCTCGTCCTCGAGGGTCGCGTGGCGGGTGATACTATGGTGAAGCTTCATGGCGTACGGATCGACCTCCAGGATGTTGAGAAGAGCGTACTGCGTGTCGGCGGGGGGTCTTTGGTGGACGTCGCGGCCTCGATAAGACAAGGCTCTGGGCCTGGCTCTGCACACCTCGTTGCTCACGTTGTCTTCTGCAAAAGTGACCCGATGTCACAAGGACCGCATCAATTTCTACGACAGCTTAGGCATCGCCTTGACCTACCATCTACGATGTGCCCCACGATGATCCCTATTGAGCAATTGCCACGAACGGTGTCAGGGAAGCTTGACCGGGCTGCTGTGAAAAACCTTCTCGTGCAATCCTCGAGTCCCTCTGAGAATGATGTCGGGGATCTGTCGAAGTTGCAAGCAAGAATGAAACAACTTTGGCTGTCTGTTATACCCGCCGAGCTTGTCAGAGCTGAGGACATCGATCAAGAGACGGACTTTTTCCACGTTGGAGGAGATTCAATGTTGCTCATTGACCTGCATCGATCGGTCACAAATGAGTTTCATTCTTCTATCTCTCTTTTACAACTCTTCCAGCATAGCACTCTGGAGGGAATGTCGTCGCTTTTGTCACCCAACGGAATTGGATCATCGACTTCCGACACCATTGAACGAGGACCTGATACCATCGATTGGAACAAAGAAACTGCTCCGTTAGTTCGTGATGTGCCCTGGAGGGAGATGGCTGTTAACCCGCCAAGCCCGTTGCCACGAACCATTGTTCTCACTGGTGCGACGGGGTTGCTCGGTGAGCGCTTGTTAGAAGTTCTTGATCGGCACCCGCAGGTTGGCACAATCATCTGCGTTGCTGTCCGCACACTGAAGGCTCGACAGGAGCAGCTAAAGAGGTTTCGAAAGGTGGAATATATTGAAGGAGATCTGGCCCTGCCTTTACTAGGGCTCGATGAACCCACAGCGTGCCGCGTTTTTAGGGACGCCGATGCCGTCATCCACAACGGCGCAGACACCTCTCAGGCCAAATCATACACTACTATACGGCCAGTCAACCTTCAGTCAACCAAAGAACTGGCAAGTCTTTGTGCCAGGCGTCGGATTCCTCTTCATTACGTCTCCACGGCGAGTGTATTACTTCTAGGTGGCCAAGACGGGCAAGATAAGCATGTAACGCACTTCACCCCGCCCACTTCCGGTGCATTCGGATACGTTTCGTCAAAGTGGGCTAGTGAATGTTATCTGCACAAAGTCAATCAAGAGTTTGATCTACCAGTCTTTATCTACCGGCCCACCCAACTGGTCCCAAGCAATGAGAGTAACCGGGGGCAAACCAGCTTCGGGCAGATGCTGCTTGACTATGTGCAGCGTTTGCAGAAAGTCCCTGATATACCTAGCATTTTGGAAACATTAAGTTTTGTTCCGACTGACCGGGTGGCTAGGGCAGTTGTGAGGTCTGTCCTAGGCAATAATCGGGGTAAGAGCCTTGTTTTCCCTCTGGAAAGTGATGATAAGCCGATCAAGATTCTATCAAATAAGGAGAAAAACCTACCGACCATTGCCTTATCGGAGTGGATTCAGCACGCAGAGAATATTGGGATGCCGTCTGCAGTTGTTGCGATGTTTCGACAAATAGAGGAGCATATGGATCTGCTGGGTGCGTGAAGGGAGATTGCCTGCATTGCGCGGACGCTTAACATAGGGTTTCGGGAGGAAACAGTCCTCAGGATGAGACAATATCTGCAAACAACTATATACATCCCCCCCCCCTATTGTCCAGTAGATCGTGTTTAGCTACAAATAGTTGTCAACGTATTGAAATATATGACTGCGAGATTATAGCAGCTTTAACATCTATCATATCAGTAACCATACACTTTTCATCCAACCATGACATATGAGAGTAAAAGAGAGAGGAGATCTAACATAAAAGTCCAGTCAAACAATAACAAACAAAACCCAACGCAGTCTAACCAACCATTAACAAAGCAACAATTTATACCCAAACAAATCAACCCAAGTCAACCAGCAGACAAAAATGAAAGAAAAAGCTCAACCAGAAGCATACCTCGACATGCCCCTCAACTTCGCACCCCAAAACCAAAACACCCAAGGCGCCGGCACCCCAATCCCAATACTCAAAAAGCCCAGCAAACTATTCCCCCACCCATACTGCAACTTGTTATACATATACGGTGCAAACAGCGGAAAACTAAACCCCGCCAGACTCCTCAACACCACCGCAGCAGCCAACCCACTCGCCGCAAACCTCGTATAACTATCAATCACATACGTCTGCATACACTGCAGACACACAATGCTCCCAATACTAAACAGCACGATACCAATATTAGGCATAATCCAATGGATATGTGCTTGCACACTCCACCCATACCAGAACAACCCGACAGGGATGAACAACGAGCCCACAAACATAGCAGGTATCCGGAACTCAGGGAGGCCGGTGTTATTCCGCTTCGCCTTAAGCTGTTTATAGATGCGGTCGCTAGCGCGCGCGTTGACCTGAGCACCAAGCACGAATCCAATACCCAGGGAAATATAGTTTAGGCCGCCGATGCCAACGCTCTCGCCGTAGACGTTCTCCCACACTTGGGGGAAGGTTGAGAGGAGGAGGTAGAATAGGCCGAAGAGGTACGCCATGTACAGCGCAATGACCTGCACGATGGGCTGCGTGGTAAGGAGGATGAATGGTCGAACGAGGGCGCGTTGCAGCGTCGACATCAGACTTGTGTTCTGGGTGTCTGCCTCGGTGTGGTATGCTTCGTCACCGGTCTTTTGGCGTAGGGTTCGGGCGCGTCGCTTTAGCAGTGTCGGCGCGTAGGTCTCGGGCAGGAAGGCCAGCCCGATTAGTTGGATCACGGCGCCCGCGATACTCGTGGCCCAGAAGACCCACCGCCAGGTGGTTGTTTCAGCGATGAAGCCGCCCGCGATGGGACCCACGACGGGGCCGAGGAGGGGGGCGAGGCTGTAGATGCCAACGGCTTTGCCACGTTGGTCGGCGTTCCAACAGTCACTTTCACAATGTTAGTTGTTTGCTTAAAGAAGGGGATGGGTAGAGAGAGAGAAGGGAAGTGGAAGGCCATACCTGAGAACACCACCGCCAATTGCCAGCGGGGCACTGCCCGCAATACCACTCATGAAGCGAAACGCGATCAACTGCCCCGATGTCTGCGCGAACCCGCACCCCAGGTTCCACGCCACATAGCACAAGTTACTACATTGCAGGACGTAGGCGCGGCCGAAGAGTTCGGATAGCGGGCCGAAGCATAGCGGGCCGACAGCGTAGGCGAGAACAAAGACGGAGAGACTTAGTTCGGATTCCACTTCTGAGGTGATGTTGAGTTCTTTCGCGATTTTGGTCAAGGCCGGGGAGATCATGGAGGATGAGACAGGAGAGATGAAGGTAAAGAGCGAGACGGTGATGGTCACCGCCCATTTCTTGCTCATGCTCCAGTTTTTGGGGTTTTCGCGGTCGTCCATTGCCCATGTTACCTATAGTAGTATTTCACTGTTAGTATGTTGATGATCTTGGTACGGGGAGCAGACTGACTAGGTGGGCATCTTGGTCTGGGACGAGTCGTCTTGTGTCGTTGAGGGATAATTGGGATGGAGCGGCCTCCGATGGGACTGATTCTGTGGATGGTTGAGTGATGGTTAGTTAGGGTCTTGGCTGGTGTTGATGTTCCATAGGGCTGGCGTGGAGATGGATGGATCCGCATCACGGAAGGGAGCATACCTCCTTCTTTGGCTGCCATCTTGCAGCAATTAATTCCAGAGCACAAAACAAACGGTTGAAGAATGTCTGATCCTAGTAGAATGGAATCGATATTATAGTAAATGAAAAGAAAGAAGGGAATCCTGCTCAAGTGCAGACTCTCTTATACCTGATTCCTGTCGGCTTTTAAGACGGCTTAAAACCCGAGTAGCCATAATCCTCAGGCAGCGAATTGCCGTTAGCGGCCACAAGCTTAGGCCTTGCCTCATTCTGGCTAGTGGCCAGCACGTGTTGGGTGCAACGTGAACTAGTCCCATTCCAGACAGACGCGTGTTTGATTGCGGCTCATTGCTTAACCGTATCCCTTCATATTAACTAAGCCTTCTCAATATGACTCGCGTCCATCTTGACATCATCCCCATCCACCTCCCCCATATCCATTCCCATCATCTCCCTCGAATATACAGTAACCTTCCACCAATGTTCCGGATTCTCAAATAACCGATCCATCTCCTCCAGCGAGCGACCCTTTGTTTCCGGAAAGACGAAATACACCATGAGAGCAACACCGAACCCAATCACTGCATACACAATATAGTACCTCCACCTAATCGTGGCAAACGCAACGGGCGTAATCTCCGCAATGACAAAATTGAACAACCAGTGGGTTGCCGTTCCAATCGCCGCCAAATGAATCCTCAGCTCTTGTGGTGCGATCTCCGCGGCATACAAGAAATTAGCAGCCAAGAACCCAAGCGGGAAGAAAGACATGTAGAAGAAGAGAAAAAACGTCGCTGCGATACTAGCACCGTACGTGTGCCGGTTATCAATAGCCCAGACTGTTCCAGTGAGACCAGCCATGGATGTACCCATTCCCAATGCGGAGACGATGAAGAGTGGTTTGCGGCCGAAGCGGTCGACAGAGAAGTAGGCTGAGAGAGCAGCGAAAATCTTCCATGTTAGTACGCCGGCACTGAGGATAGCTGCTTTCTCTGCTTCGAGGCCGAGGGATTCTTGGAAGATGGTTTTTCCGTAGTAGGTTATCACGTTGGCACCGGTCATTTGAGCGCTGAAGTTGACGGCAACGGCGAGGAAGAGACGGTAGAAGAGGCGTTGAGGCCCCCGTTTGAAGAAGTTGACGAAGCCGTATTCTGATGTAGAGGACTCTCGGAGGGCGAGAGCGATGGTTTCGATTTCGGCGTCAATTGCTTCGTAGCTGACTGTGTCCTTGTTGGCTAGTGCGTGCATGGCGGCGCGGGCTTCTGCCTTGAGGCCTTTGCTGATGAGCCAGCGGGGGGATTCAGGAAACCACATAGTAAATATCATGAGTAGCAGGGTGAAGACGATTGGTAGCGCCAGAGGGAGGCGCCAGGATACCTGACTCCCTTCTACAAACGAGAGACCCACGTTCACCCAACTGGCTATGGCAACTCCTGAGGCGATAAATACTCCGATAACCACAACATTCTTCCCTCGACTCTTGGGCTTTGTGCACTCGCTCTGCCAAACTGGGATGACGGCGTTCACACCACCAATTCCTATCCCGGAAACTATACGTCCAACGACAAGTTGAGCTATATGGTAGGACGTAGCCTGTATGACTAGACCGACGGTAGCTACTGCAGCAACGGTCAGGAGGGATTTGCGTCGTCCGATGCGGTTCCCGAGCTGGGTGATCGAGAGGGCGCCGATGAGGCATCCGATGGTGTATATGGCGACGACAGTTCCTATGAAATCCATGGTTAGGAACATTGTTGGGGAGTATGGATGTGTGAACATGCCCTGGATGGTTGCATTGTGGTTCTTGATGGAACCAGTGGTGTTACTCGTATCTATCGGTGGAAAATACTTGATGAATGATGGGTAATCGAGCACTCCGCCTATATTGGATTGGTTGTAGCCGTATAGGAGGAATGCAGGGGCAACTATAAGACAAATACGGGCTCTAGCTAACGATGGGCCAGTGAGACTTGCGAGAATCATATTGGCGAGGAAGTGGTGGTAGACACGATGGGTGCAATATATATTTTGATAAAACTGTGCACATAAACAAGTAGCCTCTCAGGATCAGAAACAGCGAGTCTCCTGGAAGAAGAGAACGTTAAGATAAAACGATCTAAACGGAGTTCTTAAATAACATAGCGTATAGTACCTCATATACTCCTATGACAGTCAACAAAGACACGCACTATCAAGCATTATGCGGAAGCAGACGCTACGAAGCTCAAAAACTTGGCTATACCCCGCAAAATTACCCCAGATTGCCCCATAAACATGCAGTCAGAATTCACAAAGTAATACATAGCATATACTATCAGCATCGGATGTTGTGAGGATGAGCCTAAACGTTTTGCCATGGCACCGAAATCTGAACCATGGGTGGAGGAGGTTTAGCCGTAACCTACTCCGACGGCAAATGCCCTGCTCGGGACAGACAACCGTCATGGTTAATCTTTTCTTGAAAGACCAAACTTTAGATAAACGTAATACGTTGGTTGCCAACAAAGCCATAAAACATGAGGCTCGGACAGAAAGCAGCGTGGACTCTCTTCCCTCGCAGCACCATCAGAACCATGTCGTCGGCTAAACCCCGCATTCTCTTCTTCAATCCCGTGAGGCACGCAGTGCCGTTCTACGAGAAGCTCCAGGAGCATGCTCACACAGAGGTCGTGACAAGTAAAAGTCGGGAGGAGTTCTTTAAAGATGTGACAGAAAAATATAAAGATATCTTTGCCATTTATCGGACATCCGCTAGTGGTGCAGTAAGTAATACCCTCACCCATTGTACAGACTTCTGGTCTCAGTAAACTAATATGGTACTAAAGGTAGCCGGCAAGTTCGATGCCGAACTAATCAACCACCTCCCATCGAGCTGCAAATATATCTTCCACAACGGTGCAGGTACGGAGCCGTGTACAACCCTATAAGTACCCCACTGACAAACAAGTACAGGCTACGACCCCATCGACACCGAAGCCTGCGCCAAACGAGGCATCATCGTCACCAACGCCCCGGACCCAGTCACAGATGCAACCGCTGACCTAGCTATCCTCCTACTCCTGGGCGCTCTGCGAAACGTTAACCCAGCACTTCGCTCCCTCCACGCCGGGACCTTCAAACAAGGTGTAGGTTTCGGCCACGACCCCCAAGGAAAGACGCTAGGTATCCTTGGTATGGGCCGAATCGGCCGTGCTATCAAACAGCGCTGTGAACCTTTCGGCATCAAGACTGTCTATCATAACCGTCGTCCTTTGTCTGCTGATCTGTCTGCCGGGGCCAAGTACGTCTCGTTTGAGAAGCTGCTCACTGAGAGTGATATCATCAGTATTAACGTGCCCTTGAATGCGAATACGAAGCATCTGATTGGCGCAGCGGAGATCGCGAAGATGAAGCGCGGAGTTGTTATTATCAATACTGCTCGTGGTGCTATTGTTGATGAGGCTGCTATGGCTGATGCCCTGGAGAGTGGGCATATTGGTGCTGTTGGCCTGGATGTGTATGAGAGGGAGCCGGAGATCAATGAAAGGCTCGTGAAGAATGAACGTGCGCTTTTGGTGCCGCATATTGGGACGCATACGTTCGAAACGTTGGCGAAGATGGAGGAGTGGGCGATGGAGAATGCGAGACGTGCGATCGTGGGTGAGGTGTTGCTGTCCCCGGTTCTGGAGCATTGGGGGTTGGTGAATGGGAATGCTTAGAGCAGTGAATAACTTGATTTGTCTGTCAAACGAAACTTTGTGTTTGTGTTTACATTTTAAACAATACAATTGTGCATTGGGCTGTTTGCATTAGCGGCTGTCTCAAGATGATCTAATCATCTACCAGAATATATAGAGTGATTCTTCTAAAAATGCTTGCACTATGCATTCACATATAAATCATGATTCAGACATACATCACTCGATCATTGCATCACGACCAACTCTGCTGGCCGAATCGCACATTGTCAATTGTGCCAGCGTTATGTCCCATCTGGATTCCAAAGTTTTCCCCTGTGAAGATAACACAGTTATTCTAGGTAATTGTAAGCTTAGTGGCCTTGACAACGATTTCACTCGAAAAGCCATCCTGGCTAGCATAAGTCTCTTTAAGGAGTGACAGACCAATCTTGACCTTGTCCATCCTTGAAGCTTCATTCTTATAGATCCCGCAGTGCTTATTTTCCGCTGGGAACAATTCAGTCAAATCGTCGACCAGACCACCTATGTCTTGGATCAACCGCGAGAAATCCTTCATCTCGTAAATGGCCAGGGCCCTATCCTGATTGACAATAAATTTACCCTCCTGCCCCTTGATGATATCATTGACTGACTGATGAGACGATTCAGAGGTTCTGGCCAGCTCCTTACTGGGTTCCATGTTCGGAGATGCGGGATTTTTTATTCCTGAAGCAGCCCGAAAGCTTATCAGCTTCCCTGATCAGCTCCAGTATTTCACCGAGGAGATCTTGCATTTCTGGAATGCCTTCACGAGCGAGATTTATTTCGTGAGCAGACCCCACATCGTTTAGATCAGTCAAACCCACAGACCTCCCCAACCTAGTTAGGCGCAACTTAACCACGTCAGGTTTCAATAGACTCGTCCGGGCTTCCTTGCCAAAGCTATTTCCGATCTAAAGTGACTCCAAAAATCTTAGCGCTTGGCTGAATAAGTTGGACTGCTCGGACAATTAGTCCATGATTACTCGCTGCATACCCAGCATCTCAGGAGAGCTGTGCTGCCCACAGCAGCCGGTTGCCAACTACCACTAATACATGACCATCAGGATATAGTCAATCGTACCGACAACGAAATTAGGCTTCCACGTATTACGTATGCCCAGTATGTCAGCCCAAAATTAACAGCCAGGTAGCAAAGGAAGGCCATTACTGAGGAGCTTTGTGAAAGGCTTCGGAAAACCATGAAGAACCCAGGATAATGTGAGTTTTTCAAATCTGACGTAGTTTCTCAATACCGGTAGAACATTGGAATCCGCCCGCATCTCAAGCCAAGCTCAGGAACTATGACCTAATTTTATGGGGTTGAAATTGAAGAACAATCAGCCAGACATGCTGTGTCGAATTCCCCTTGCCAGCCGGCTATACTTGGACCGTGCGGGTGAACGTTCACCCCCCAAGCTCGCAGCATGTCTCAGGAAGTGTACTACCGGGAGAATCACCAGTAATAAGAACAGAATATCGTCTACTCCGTTGCTAATGCAGAAACTCGGACATTATTATCAACTCAATACATCTGCAAATTCGATCGTAATACAACGACCATACAAATCATCAATATGGTGAAGATCGCACTTCTTGGCGCCGCGGGCCAGATAGGCACGCCCCTCAGTCTTTTATGCAAAACAGTATGACCAACAAAGAGCTTACATGAATGAAAATGTGACAGAATATGCTAGCTGACACAGTTCAGAGTGATTTATTTGATGAGATTGCCTTGTACGATATTGTTCATGTACCGGGCATTGCTACGGACTTGATGCACATCGACACCAAAGCCAAGGTTACTGGTTACCTTCCCGCTGATGATGGACTGAAAAAAGCCCTTACCGGCGCTGATGTCATCGTTGTTACTGCTGGCATTGCGCGGAAACCGGGGATGACTAGAGATGGTGAGTGACGACTACTATCTACACTTATAGGTATATATCGCCAGTCACTGACTGGTGCCCGCGTCTAGATTTATTCAAGGTGAGACAACAACTACCCAACATAACAAGAATATATAATAGCTATGTTCTCGCCAGAATAACTATCATCTGACTAAAAGTAGACAAATGCTCACATCATCCGCTCAATCTTCACCGAAGTCGCAGCAACATGCCCCAAGGCATTCTGCTGCGTCGTCACCAACCCCGTCAACTCCACCGTCCCCGTCGCCGCCGAGACCCTCAAAAGAGCAGGTGTCTTCGATCCGACTCGTCTCTTTGGCGTCACTACCCTAGACGTCGTACGGGCATCTACTTTCGCCGCACATGCCACAAACACCAACCCCAAAGCCTACAAAGTCCCTGTCATCGGCGGCCACAGCGGAGCTACCATATTGCCGCTTTACAGTCAGGCCCAACCACCAGTCACTCTTGATGAGGAAACCTTGGCGGCTGTTATTAACCGTATGTTTCCCACTATACAAGTATTCATTCCCTTCAGGAAGTAGATGCTAATGTATTGGAATTGAAGGGGTGCAATTCGGCGGTGACGAGATCGTGAAGAGTAAGCAGGGCGCGGGAAGTGCTACTACATGCATGGCGTATGCGGGATTCCGCTTCGTCAAGGCTATTTTGGCAGCCATGGTTGGAGAAACCGTTACCGAGGAAGCTTATGTATATCTTCCAGGCGTTCCTGGTGGTGAGCAGATTGCGGCTAAGCTTGGGGTGGATTATTTTGCTGTTAAGATTGAGATTGGAAAGACGGGCGCTTCGAAGGCGTTGTCATTTGGTGAGATTTCCGAGAATGAGAGGAAGCTTCTCGGAGTTGCTATCGAGGGGTTGAAGAAGGGTATTGCTGCAGGGTTGGCTTTGGAGTAGGAGTAGCTTTCCTTCTTGGGAGTCTACTAGATATGAACTTATGGGGTGTATGTATTTTAGGTTGCTTTGTAGAGCTGGATACAGTTCCTTAAAACTATGGATTACGCTCCATCTCATCAACTGCTCCCCAGCGTAAATAAATGGCATTGTTGGAAGACGTGATGACGCATAAATAGGTTTACTTCGCTATATACAAACAACAGATCATGGTAAGAACATGTAGAGAATTTGCCAAGAGAATTTGCCAAAATACGCACAAATCTTGAGATCGAACCGGTGGTGAAGTAGAGCCATCCAGGTAATTCTTTGCTCATGACTGAATTCTACTGGAAGACCTTCAAGGAGGTGGCCACATGCCATCGACATGTTCCGGCTTTCTGGGTATCGGGTATTCCTCAACGACCTTACTGCCTTCCCACCTGGCACTAACATCGAGCTTCTGGTTCAACGCAAAGAACGTGTCCCAATTCTTGCAGGTATGGTATGTATTGAAATTCGGGAACGGGATGTCCAAGCCTTGCACCCAGTTGTAGGTCACCAAGGAGAGGTCATCGTTGCACATTAGGGTCTGACGAAGTATATCAACGCAGTGGTCTGGGAAAGCTGTTAGCTGTGTGCTGTACTCCGCAGCTCGAAAACGAAAGAGATTGATTGTAAGACCCACCTAAGTGAAAGAAGATACGCTCATCTGTTTGATTCACGAAATGCTCATCTTTGTCTTTGTAGTAATCCATGTGGATACCTTTCCGCAGGAGGTCCTAAGAACAAAAAGCGACATGATCAGCTATATAGCTCAACGCGCACATGGTCACAATACTCACAACACAGTGTAATTGGTGAAGAACGTCAAAGGTCGCCATATACTCTTGGTCAGGGCCAGCGTTTTCGATTCGTACTGCAACATCGGGATGATTGTTCAGTGCTGTCAGCTGCTGGCGACTGATGCCCATTGCACCTCCTACCAATGGCTGTTAGAAAATTGACAATGAAAGATTGTCTGGATTCTAACTTGTCAAGTCATGCCATTTGGCATCTACCTCCGGTCCCACACCCGCGTAATCCGAATGAGCGCTATAGAATTGTCGTTTCTCGTAAACGATTCCACTTTCAAAGCCTGGCACTGTACAGGACCTGTCAAATTCTGCGTAGAGAAGTCAAAGCAGAGGATGTACCTACACCAGTAATCTGTAGGCTTCTGAATGAAGCCTTCTTTGCGGGAATGGGGCGTGGTTGTCCAGAGGTTGAAAACAAGCATCACAGTGTTCAACATCAGTAGGACCACACAGAACAATCCGAATAGCAAATGCTTTCGGCTCATAGGTGGGCTGGAATGGACCCCATGGTCCTCAAACGGCTTGCTAAGAAGCACTCGTCTGGCTTCGTCTTTGTCAAGACTGCTGCTCCCGCGGCAGTCACTGCCATCGTCAACTGGACAATATGCGGCATCCTTCATTTCTGGATTTTTTATTGTTTACAGAACGGCCTCGGAATGCCTCTGAGGAAGAATGGCTCGAGTGTCTCGCAATACTCCCTGACTCGGGTTATGTTTTCGGTCATATAAACCCTCCTGTTATCTCAAATCGCGAGGGGCTATGTCTTCATTCGTTGAAGTGGTATTTGTCAGTTTTCATTAGGTCACTAGAAACATGCGTGTCGTCATATCGATAATCTTTTCCCGATTCTCTGAAGTGTAAGCGACATGAACACATAATATCGATTTATAGTCGCAGATCACAAGGCTAATCGTGGAAGGAGGGTTCACGAGCGCCACGGCGTACATAATAGATGTTGATACTAGCATCGTATCCAATTCGGTTTCGAACTTAGTACGCGAGGCTACCTCTTTTACAATTTCTAGAGATTGATCATCAGTTGCCCTTCTGGCTTACCTGTACTCTATTTGAGATTCAAGATTACTACTACGTCTAATCACTGTTTCGTGGCACTTGTTCATGCTGATCATTGAGCTGTCACACACTGTATCTGCAGCCAGGACAAAGCAATATCGGGAATTATAAGAACTGTTTCCTTCACCGGCAGATGTTAGGAACCGCATGAAAAAGTAATATACAAACTTACCATAACTCTCTCTTCACCCGCATGTCTTGGAAATAACAGGAAAAAGCAATATAGGAGCCTACAATGTCTGTTGCCTTCACCGATGGGCCTTGCAATTTGTAAAAAGACTTTACAGACGTAGTACAGCAGAGGCCGAGGCCAAGTTTCCATATGGTAATAACTACTCTATTCTCATTGTCGTTCAATGTGTGCTTTTCCATACAGAGCAAACATGTAGTACCTCACCCCAGAAAAAGCATAAAAGGCACCCAATCTTAGTCAGATATGGTACTATGCATGATAATTAGTTAACTAGCGCAACATTTATGTATCTCGCCACAGCCCAATTTGCTTATTGAGATCAATATTGCATGGATCTTCCCCCGCTGCCTCACAATATACATGATGTCGGAACATATTTCTCCATCTATCTGATCATATCGATACAATATATCATTATTAGTGCAACAGTCAGTGCGTTGACACATGACAGTAAATCCAGTCCACGCACGGACATGATAGAGACAAGCATTGTTGTCAGATAATTCAAACGAAAAAGCACATTTCAAGTGGTGAGGGGCGTAAATGCCTCATAGGAATGGTCTACGGTGGGGAAAAGCCTACAATATATAATGTAGACCAAAGCCAGGAATCCAGGATGCAATCTGAATATCTCAAGAACAACAACAAGCCTCACAAGCACAATAGCAATCATCAAGCACACTACCACCACCAATAAGAAAAAGTTGAACAAAATGCGTTCGTTTATCTGGCTGAGTGCACTTATCGGGCTTGCCATCGCGGCACCCGGGGCTTCTATTCCGGAGGAGAACGACAAGCGGGAATGGCTTGATGGCTACGGCCGTGGCGGTGGAGACGGCTACGGCGGCGGTGATGGTTACGGACTGGTAAGTAGCAATTCAGCTCATGAAAGCAAGCAATTAATTCAATATTACCAGGCTAAGCGAGAGTGGATGGACGGCTATGGTCGTGGTGGTGGTGATGGATATGGCGGTGGTGATGGTTACGGTCTAGTAAGTGGCAATCCAGCTCGTGGAAAGGAAGAAATACTGAAGTTATACCAGGCTAAGCGGGAATGGCTCGACGGTTACGGCCGTGGCGGTGGTGATGGATATGGTGGAGGCGATGGCTACGGCAGAGTGAGTGACTGCCACATTGTGAACGGGGAAAGGGTACTGACATTATACCAGGCTAAGCGGGAATGGCTCGACGGCTATGGTCGTGGCGGTGGAGACGGCTACGGCGGCGGTGATGGTTACGGTCTAGTAGGTGGCTATCCAGCCCATGAAAAGAAGCGAGTACTTACAATTTACCAGGCTAAGCGAGAGTGGCTTGACGGCTACGGTCGTGGCGGCGGCGGCGATGGATATGGTCGTGGTGGTGACGGATATGGTCGTGGAGGTGGCTTTTGGAAGGTAACACCCCTGCCCTCTGGAGCAGTGAACATGCTAATAAAACTATATAGGCGTAGGTATAGCGCGTTAGCTGGTGACAAAGTCTGTAGGAAGCTGTACTTGATGTACGCTTCACTGTGCGGTTCATTTACCAAAGCCGGACTCTTTCACCATTTACGCTTTTGACGGATGTATCCTGTTGCCTGGTGCAGCATTCAACATGCAAGGTACTGTATCCGTGCGACTTCCGACAAGGCTTTGCCTTTATTTGTCACTTATTCTTGAGGCTCAGTGCTTAAAAGGACACAAGTCATAACGTTTTTGATTCATAGCGAGGAGGTACCTGTAAAAAGTCTCCTCAATGTTCCATTGTAGCGTGCATCGTTAGTAAGGTATTTTTCGAGTACGTAATCACCATTTAGCTCACTATGAACAGGTAAGATCCAGTGACAACTTTCGGAACTATGGTTTAGTAGATGGACGCTAGTATAAAATGATATGGTTAACTTTGTTCAAAAGAAGATGATAAAAAGGATAAGTCCAAAAGTATTCTTTTGAAGAGTAATTATATCAACCCGGTGAGGAAAACTTTATCTTTAGTGAATGATACTTCCCTGTTTAATGACTTTATATATCGATATTGGACCAGCTTCCCAAGACAGGAAAAAATCATCACACACATTACCAACTGTTCATCTCGGCAAAGATGTCCCCCCCTCCATGCAACTGCCTCCCAGGTCCTGCTAAAGCCATGCGAGAAACATCTATTCGCTCATCCACCATCATGGCCGGCAACAGGGTATGACTGTTTCCATCAGTCGTAAAGCATACCTTGGAAAGCCGCAACCTCTCCTGCTCACGCAGTATGGCCACAAAGTCGTCCAGAATGTTAATAGTACCGCAGCTCTCTGCCATATGAAGTCCATCAATGACCCAGATAATTGATGGTGGTGCATCCACCAGGAGGCCTTCGATTATCCTCAACGCAGTAGAGGTAGATCCTATCGTTCCATCAAGATTTTCAAAATGTGCCAGGAGCTCTGGGGCACCGTGGAAGTCTGCGGGGAGCAGACGCGCAAGTTGTGCGATTATGGAGTACATAAGCGCGACGGCACAGGCTTCTTGGCTCGAGACATCCGTGTCCCAATTGTACCTTGGCTTACAGAAGAATGAGATACAGGGAATTTGTGCCCTTGTGCTCAGAGCGCACAGCTGCATGGCTGCCAGGGAGAGATTGGACCTATGATTAAATGACGGGACCCCCTCGAGCCAGATCATTTTCGACCGTGGGCTCCTGATCCAGTCCTGGATCTCACTCAATACTTCCTGTGGAAGTAGAGAAGATGGAATTCCTCGGAGTGCATGGGAAAGCTCTTCTCTCCCATCGTCAGTGTACTTCATGAGGGCTGTCGTGGCTTTCTGAATGTCGTAGCGCGTGCATGTCTCATCTGCGTCTTGGATGGTTTGTTAGGAAGGTAGAATAAAACAGATAAATGCAACAATATTTACCAGAGTCCGACTCAGTCTTCCATGTCTCGACCTCAGTAGCTTGAACATCTGTCGGCTTAACATCTGCCAGGCTCTCCCTCTTCTCACGTATCTTTAGCGACTGTGGATCTAGCTCACAGATTAGATTACCATTCTTAAGTTGGCTTAAGTTATGGTCAGCTAGTTGTCCTACCGTGTTTAGCATTCCTCTCAACCTCTTGCAGCGTTTCAAGTGAGCATGCTCCCACGAGCTGACCCAAGTGGTGAAACTTCGCCTGCGTTGCATTTCGGTCGTCGTCTCGACTCTCACTTCCCACAACGTGAAGATATAAGAATTTTCCAGAGACGTCAATTGGCCGTGGGCTGACAATATCGAGCACTTGGCCAAGCTTGCTGCTGATTCCCAGGACCTGCTTCTCTGCCAGATGTGCCGCTTCGTCACGGATCCGTGCAATCGCCGATTTCATGCGATCAACCAAGTCCTTAACTTCATGGTCATAAGAACTCCTATCAATGATCGTCCGATATCGATGGCGCGGTCGACTAAACCATGACATTGCGTTGCAGAGGAACTCAAAGACCATCACGTAGTAGTCCACGACGAGCGTCCTCATGTCTGCGCTGTCCCAGATATCCGTCTTTTTTTGGACGAGCCTCAAATCACTGCTAAGATCGACCAAGGCGGAAAAGAACCCCTCAGCAATTCGCTTATAATTGGCACATATCTAAGTACGCGCAGATATTTTGAGCTCATGGCCAACTCGTGCTCTCCAGATGTGATCGCATACCTTGACGACTGACGAGATAACACCCGTAATCAGACTGATGTACTTGTCACCGGTCGGGATGAACTTGAACAGAAAAGAATGGTCGTCCATCATCTCCAGAAAGTCGACAACATAACTTTTGACCTTTCCCAGTCCTTTATTTCTCTTAGCCTGCCAGTCCATCTGGGCGTCCTGGACGATATTTCTCAACGTGGCAATATTCGGTATCTCCGGGACTAGTTGATCAGAGCCCACTCTAGAATCTTCATGATGATGCTCCCGAAATCGCTGCCAAATTTCTACAATGCTCTTGCGCCCGTCTTCTAGCCGCCTCAAATCTGCATCACTGGTGAATTAGTCAGTCTCAGCATAATGCTACTACTTGAAAAGGCATGCCTGGTTGCATGATGGGCCTTACTCTGTGGTATCCCCGAATTTGAGCCATTTGCTCCATTGTTCCGCCTGCACCCGAGACTGTTTCTCGATCTCGTCCCGCTGTTTTATCGTGGTACTCAGGGCCTGGGTGAGCGGATTGTTGGGCGTCTCCTGCTCTGCCTTCATACTATATCGCCTAATCAGAAAGGATATCGGTGGTTGTTGCATTGCTTACTCGTCTACCTGGAGCCACAAAATCCAAGTGTTGTCGAGTTTTAGTTGTATGTGGCGGGTTATATATTGGAGACGGAATAGTGATGGAGTCGTCTAGTGGGGCGGAGAGGGCTTGGGTATTGGGCACTGAGAGATATCCCATGTCTTTACGCCCCCACCCAGCCTCTTCCGTGGCCGTTTGAGAGCCAGCAGACCAGTCGCCAAGGCCAAAAAATCAGGGAAGCTTCGTATTGGCGTGAGTGGTATGGCCGCCGGACACGGGGTCTATAAGCGCTGAGCCTGAGAATGGAGCGCTAAGTGGAGTGCTAAGCCTCTCAGCCTCCACAAAATGGTGGAATCAGAAGATAAGCCATGCAGTAATCTTAAGCCAAATTTTATACGCTTAGTGGTATAAAGACTGATCGACATCGCGTCCTGAAGGCCCCAGAGTTGACACTTCCAGGATCAATTATTAGAACTTGAATCTAGGGCCCTGTTTCAGGATTTGGCAAACAGAACCATGAACCACGGCGACGCAGGAGAGATGAGTGCCATCACCTTGGGCACTACTTTGGTTTCAACTCCCCCTAACAACATAAGCATAAGTGTGAGTACAGAATCAGACCCTGCCTCGTCAAATGTCGAGACACATAAACATGCAGGAGCAGACCACTCCCCGAGTTCCGATTTGGAGGAGGATGCTGCAAAGGAAAAAGTGACCGAAACTGGTGGAGAGGGAGGTGTTTCCAGTGACCAAGCCAAGGACCAGTATGAGGATAATCAGGTGTCATGGGCAACCTTATATTGTCCGGAGAATGGGCGATCCCATGCGACCCTGCTAGATTTTGGATTTGGCGAATGCCCCAAGTGCGGCCAGAATTTGACGGTCATGTGGACGCAGCCCACATGGGTTCAGCAAGAGTTCAATAATCCACAAGAACACAGCAAAGAACAGGATGACAACCAACCAGGACCACATTTGCCTATGAAGAGCGATGCAGAACAATTGGCTCCAGCGCCTGAGGTCCACGAGGACTCCACCACTGATCCTTCTTCCATTGTGACCTATTGCCTGGAATATCTAGACGCCGGGAGCAACATTATCACCACAGTGCCGTGGTCAGGTCCTTTCAACAGCTCAGTCATTCAAAAAAGCGTCGAGGTCAAGCAGCGCGTTATCTTCAATGTCACTACGGTTTTGGAGACGTCTGTGCCCCCGGACCCGCACAGATACTCACATGAAGTCGAAGGCCTTCTACGAGATGGCATCATAACGAACCCGACCATCGAGGTTGGGGTCCGTTCGACCCGCATGACCATCTTTTCCAAGACGCTTCTCAATGCCCTCGCCCATGTGGTATCCTATTACCCGGCTGAAAGACTGGGAGGGGAATATCTCGAACTCAATGAGCCATTTTCGTTGATTGGCCATCATCTTGGGGAGCTCGAAGCTTACCGAGCGACATATCGAGAAGATGATGTTGGCTCCCCACAGCCAGATGCCGCAGACCATGATCCTGCCGTTCCGATGTGCGAGAAGGAGACATTTGATCAGCTAGGCCTGCTACTTGATTTTGTAAAAGACTCATTCTATAAAGATCGTCTCCCTGATGAACTAGCCCGACACACTCAGAACCGTTGCACATTCCGAATGCTGTGGTTACTCTTCAAGCCCGGAGAAACTGTGTATATGGAGTCTGGGGGTCAACTGTCAGCCTACGTGGTCCAATATCTGCAAGTTGATAAGACGTTGCTTTCATCCACTGGTCGCAAGTTTACTCATCCCTATATTGTCCAGCTGTGGAATCTTGACTTTAATGGAACATATGTCGGGAGGCGTTCCAAAACCGTGACTATCGCACACTTCGATGGCGAGCGACAAGTCACCTCGCTCAAGATATTTCCGTGCCACTTCATCGATAGACAGGACAATGGAAAGACTCGGAGGCACTTGGAGGATCTTGGGCGGAAATGGTATGAGCTTCTCCAGGGAAAGCAGGTGTTCTACTCGGGCGAGTTCCTGGGTCCATCTAAGCGACAGGTAAGCATGCGTTTATTACCCGTATGAGCTATACTGACATCTCGTGACAGTACCAAGGTCGCGTCTATGTCGACTCGGCTTCTTATTTTGCACAGCACGAATACACAGCCCCAGTCATTTGTGAAGTCGAGGACATGGGTGACGGACTAGCTAAATGCCTCTGCGAAGAGTGTCGTGGCTGGAAACCTCACCC